CCCTCGCAGAGCTGAGGAAAACTCAAGTCGCATCACTTCGGGAGCTGAAGAGCACAATTCAAGGCTTTGCCGACAGTCTGGACGCTGAAGATGAAAACGGGCTGTGAGGCACCTCCGGACACGTGCCGAAACGGTGCATCAAAAGAAGGGGCAGATGTGTGGAATAGGTTTGAGTGACGGTGATATCGTTTTTATATATTCAAATGTCCAACAATTGCGGATGAAATGATATGCAAATTTCCTTAGAAAACATTGTTATTATGTGCATTATGACCTTTTACTTTTTGACACTTTTAGTGAAACACCCTGTAGATGGGATACCTACTCACTACTCAGGGAGGTGGCAGGGCGAGTTCAAGGTAGCAGTAGAAGTTGATGGACTCGAATGACTCAGACAGAGGGAGCTCGAAAAATGGAGTGCGAGGGATGAAGACTTAGCAGTGCTTGACGTGGAATGGACGGAATCTGAAGAGCTTCTGTGTGGCATTACGGTTCTCACGATCTGCTTAAAGGCCGGATGAAATGGCATTTTTAATCTTCGCAAGGTCACTTTACGAATAGCGTAGATAACTTAGATCATCCATTAAAATTTTAAGAATTTAGATGACGGTCATTTGGTGGCTAAGACATGATGTCATTTTTAAGCTTTACCAAGGCTGTTTGAAAACAAATGCGTGTTACTCAGGGATCAAGGCATGGAGTTCTAGGAAATAGGGCTTGTGCGTAGTTGTGCGCAATGAAAGTGTACCAAGTCATGCTCGCGATTCGAAAAGTTATGGGATGTGATAAAGTTGCAGAGACGTACCTTTACCTAGTTCTGCTAATAGTGAAACACTGGCTCAGTGGTGTGCAACTGAAAGGTAACGTGGCTCAATTTGTAAATGCCTACACGGAATGAGCTATTTTCTTGAGAGATTCAAATCAAACATGATTCTATCGCATCGCATCTCCGTAATGTTTAGTATAATGCCTGGCTTCATTGGGGATAGGAATGTATTTTTCATTTCGAATGATGAGTAGGTGGAATGTTTTCGCTACAGTCTGAATAGCCCGCATCATTTCAAAGATTTATAGATGTGCGATGGTTTGCTTGAGAAGAAGGCACCATAATTTATGACAAGATTTCCTCTGCTGCCATTTGCGTACAAAACACGATGTGTTCTTCTGTTATGAGGAGATGCAAACAAAAACGGTTTTAGTGTGAGCGACTATAATTATTGATATTAAATTGATATAATGAACCAATCACTTCTAGTTAGCCTGAGTGTGCATACTTATCACCCTGAACAGATATTTTATCATGTCGCTCCTCGCGCACATTCCGCTTCGTCAAACTTTGCATTTTCCAGCCTCGCTCTATTTGTTGTCGTTTGTGCAGTTCCCGGGTAATTGTGGGACCTTGTGGGATGAACTGCGGTAGTTACGAACCGTCACGTGCCAGCAGGCCGAGCCATCCACAATAGGTCGTTAAACGTCACAGAAAAAAATGCGTAATCACGGGATGGTGGCTATTCTCGCCCGTCCCGGCGTCAAAATACACCCCTTCCACCGCTCGAGGTAGTCATTGGGATCTTCCGGTCTGCGCCGTGATTGTCAGGTGGAAGGTCCACAGACGTGCGACAAACTCATGTCTACATGTTACAAAACCGTGAAACGATTCCTGTCACTGACTGCCGAGGTGACACTTATCAAACACTGTCCTATATTTAATCGAGCGGCCTTCTGAGTTTGGTGGTGCGTATAGTATATACCTATGGCACACCTGAGCTGATCTTGAGAGTGTGTAGGACCGCACAGGCCCATCCGACGGAGAAAGTTGCGAGGAAGACGCGGTGTCTGATGGAGCGGGACTGGAGGGTAGAGTGACTCGCAGAAATGTGACGGGACGATACGGCAGTAGGACAGCCGGGCGGGGCCGGGCGCGGTCGGGGAGGGGAGGGAGGCGCTCACTTCACTTTCATTCCCAGAGTCCAGTCCGTTTCGCCTCTGCTGCTCGACGAGCAGATAATCGCAACGAATGCAGTGCTGATGAAAGCATGGTGCGACCGCTTGGCGCGGTGACTTATCTGCTGTTTTAGATATATATGAAATGACTGAGATTTTATCAGGATATCATAGGACACTCAAACGATAGGCATCTTTGGGTCTTGAGCACTCTAACTCTTTTGTTTCGCGGCTGCTGGCTCCTTTATCCAAGGTCGTTTGAAACTGACCACAAAGTCATACCGCGCCTGGCGTCCGGCTGCCTTGAGCGCCGCGTCGAATGCCGGGTGCATGAACCGTGCCGGACCAAATGTCGCGGCTCCCGTAATCACAGTGCTGTCCTTGCCGGAGCTCACGGCGTAACGACACGCCGTAACGACAGGAAGTAACGACGGACCGGCGGTGAGACCCGGAACGGCAGGGTGCGATGGCCGGCCACCCGGCCGATTGGCTCAGCGTGGTGGCAGACTGGGACGGAGGTGTATCCGTGACGCTGTTCCTCTGGCAGCGTTTGTCTCACCACGGGTGTCCGACAGATGCCGGAAAGGGTGTGAAGTTTCAGTAGATATCCCAGACAGGTGGTGCAGTGCCAGTGGTGGTCATTGACATCGACAGGCCAATGTAAAGACTGAACACCAGCGTGGCCTCTAGCGACCGGACCCAGGCTGGAAACTTTGCAGCATCTCTCGCGGTCGTCTGGAATCAATCGGCTCCAAGTCAGGCAATGTTACGCACATCACCCGTCGTGTCTCATTATAGGAGAAACCTTCTCTCTGCGTACTGGACACATGCTCTGACCGCTCGGTCGAGCCTATTTATGCACCCCTGCGCTGGACACCCCCGTTTCTCCGCCCGACTCTGCCCGACTCCACCGGCGGGCGGCGTGACTCTGAGTGATGACTCCGCGGGGTGCCGTGTCGGCTGGGCCCTATGAGCTCTTCCGCAGCATGCCGAGTCCATAACGGCGCCCATTAGCGGCGCCACCCCCGGTTTCCACGCCTAATTAGTCCGGCCGGGGCTCGGTCGCCGCTGCGGTGCCGGCGCGGTCGAGTCCACTGGAGCCGAGTCGTTGTCCGTGGAAGGTGTGGTGCGGCTCCTGCTGCGCGGTCAGCCCTGCACTCCCCGCGGCATTGCAGGGCGGGGGAGGGACGGTGGCCCAGTTTAGCGGCGGCCATTCCCGACCGCGTCTCAAGGCCGCGGTCCTGGCCCACTTAGCTCGGCCGCCCGGCTGGCCACTAGGCTGAGCTCCATCTAATCACAGCGTGAGCTGGGTGATTACACGGAGCCCACTCGGTCAACCGGGCAGCGAAATATCAGCTCACTGCCGGATGATGGAGAGCTGTAGGATAAGAACACAGTTGCGAATGCCTTGTCGGTGCGGTGCTTCAATCGGTGAAACCGGATTGACTTATCCAACCGGGTAGCCTCATCTGCATGCGGTGGGAACACAGTTGTGCGGGAGCTGTCAGATTTTTGGAATACCGCGAGCTTGTTTGCTTTCCTCACCGATTTAATACAAGCAGAAGCACGCGAGGTCTGGCTTGGTGCGATGCAGCGGCGGTGGGAGTAAAAGGACCACAAGAACTCAGCAAGAGGTCAGGTTCACGGTGCGGAGAGGGCACTCTACCCGGCGGCGGTGGCGCGACCAGTGGCCCACAAAAACCACACCCTCACAAGAACACGTCTGGTGAGCAGGAACCAATCAGATCGGTTTTTGCTTTTTTTGTTGGACTAGCTAGAAAGCCTGACTCGAGCTTCCACTATTCAATTTTCGTTTCTACTGTTGACGGTGGTGATTGTTTTAACCTGCCGGCATGAAAGGCAGCGTTGATGAGGCCTGCACCGGGCGTTATTAATGTCCGCCGTGACTTGCGCGGCTTCTGTGAGTGGAGGCGTGGGCCATGCACCGTTTCATTTCAGTTTCATGAGCCGTTTAGCCGGCCAACCACCCGCGACCGACTACCAGTGCAATCGGTCCGTGTATGTGCCAGTTCGGGCGGAGCCGGGCCGGCGAGCCGCGCGGCCTCATCTGGCCACTTTCTCGGCCGTTTCGGAGAGTCGCGTGTCCACGTTCGACGCCTGTCGGATCGACGCCGCCTCGCCTGGTCGACCATCGGAGACAGCGTCGGCGGCAGATGGCCGCGTGCCGGACACAACTGTCCCCGCTGGACTGGTCAGCGCCCTCGGCGATCGGGAGCTACACGCCGAAAACGAGGCCACCCAACAACAGCCTCCTCTGTGAATATGCGTGTTAGTGTGTTTGAACCCATCTGGACGCCGTGGGACATTCACAGCTGAAGTAGAAAATTAATCAGTTTACGTGCTCACACCCTGGAAGGCGAAGATCGGGTGAATTATGCTGACTCATTGGCCACACCTCGCCTAAAACGGCGACAGCTCTCGAGAAAGCGGCACAGGTGCGAAACTAATGTGTCAAACTGATCAACGCCCGCCGCCAGTGAACTGTGCCGGACTGGGTAAAGTGAAGACGGGAGTCTCACGATTTGGCGTCTGCGAACAGTCTTCGATCGTCGCTAGTTGTTGTCCGCGGGTAGTCTGATACTCACCGGTCGGTCTAAATCGCCGCGAAGCACGAGTCATCAAGTTTACCATTTTACTCGAACTTGCCGTCGGATAGACCCACACATCGGCCCGATTAAATCATGATCTCGCTATCGTACCTAGTCATCTTACTCCCTTAAGAGTAAGACTTACTCCGTCTTACTCCGTCTTCCCCATCATCTATCATCATCTTCTGACGTATTTTCCCGTCAACAAACGTCTTTCGCTGTTTCCCTAAATCAAATTAACTTCACAGACACCTCGTGTCTCCGTTTTTCCGTCTCCCTAGTCTCTTTCTCGTCTCCTCCGTTGAACCTAGCGGCCACAAGGCATATGCACAGAGCTAGCGACTGGATCGGAACAGGTGTGGCTCACCGACCGGACCGCGGCCGACCCGCAGCCTTGGGCAACAACAGGCTTCGGTGAACGGTCAGCGCGCGGCGCCGGCCCAGATCGAGAGAGACGGGCGAGTCGACCGGCCGCCGCCGCGCCGCGCGGACCTGCTCCCGAGAACCAGTCGGCGAAGGAGGGTGGACAGTGGACAGTGGACGGTGGACATTGGACATTGGACAGTGGACGGTGGATCATAGACGGTGGACAGTGTATAGTGCGCTCTTTGGTGTGAGCACGGTGGACCTTACGTGGAGCAGGAGCACAACACCGGCATAGCTCCTCTCGTACCACCGCAGTCTCCACCAGAACGGCGTCAAACCGCGATCACTGCTTCCTCTCAGCCGCCGGTCCTCAGCGATCATGGCGGCCAGAAACGCGCGCCCGCACCCTCCCTATGAGGAGATAGAGGAGGGTCCGTACTCGAGCCGACCCCGGCGCGGGGCCGAGGGGCGAGAGGAGCAAACCTACGACTTTCTGCCCATACACCGTCCAGGAAACGGCAAAAGGTCAGTTATCCGCGCAAATGTGGCCCCATTCAGCCTTGGTGTAAACCCGTCGTGCAGTGGAGGATGTATGTATGGGTTGTAATGGCTCGCTTCAGTATTGTTCCTTGATGCAAATTGAGTCGGTCCTAGTGCAGGAGTGAGCGAGCGACTCGCTTTCATTTGTGGTTGAATTGGACATAAGTACGCTGGTGTGATCCGTATTCGATATGCCGCGGTGCAGGTGGCTGCATAGTTGATTCGTACAATTGACCTTAGTGTAGGCGATGCAGAAGAACTCACAGCCAGCTGTTAGTTATTTTAAGTTCCTATCTATGAGCGTTTGATGCATTTAGCGCTCGTAATGCTTGGGCTACTTATTTAAATTGATGTAAAGGGGTTCCAAGTTTAAATGCTGCATCAAATGAGGGGGCCATGTATTTTCGTTCAACTACTTGATATATTTTTTACCTGCATTAGTAGCACACATTCACATCATTATGTGTTTATTAGAGAGTGAAACCGTTATATATTCAGAGGTAAAACGCTTCTTTATGCCTATTCATGGTGTAACAACTGGTCTTCTGCCGCCATCACGATGAACATGTGCCAACACATCCAGCTCGAGCAAATCTTCCTGGCTGGTATGTGGATCGCCCGTCACTTCACTTTCGTCGGGCGGCATTCCGGCCAAAGCCTCAGCGAGGCGCCGCTCCAGCCGCAAACGAGGCTACTTTGGGCACTGACAGCACGGGGCGGCACCGCGGGCTGGAGCAGCCCTCAGGCCCCCGTCACTGGGCTCTGACACAGCCGCGCTGTTGGGAAACACGGACCTCGACTCGCCGGCCGAGTGTCTCCGTCAGGCACTCATCGGTGCTCGACTTGAGTGTCTGGAGTGGACTCAGAGGTAGTTAGCACCGTTACTCTCTTGCCGACATCGACGACGCAGCTGTGGCGAACCTGGCGCGCTCCGTGAGGTTCGTCGCACCTGCGTCGATTTCGTCACAGCTCGGCCCCCGCCCGGTGCGCAATTGGGTCAATGCCTTAATCAGAGAAGGTCAATAGCATCTTGGATGGGCGTCGGGCTGGAAACGACGCTCGTAATAGCGGCGGTACCTTCGGCCGGACGGCGGGCGGTTGTCGCGGTAAGCGTCGTCCCTGAGGAGGCTAGGTTTGGTTCATGTTGGTGGCCCAAACGACGGTATGTTCTTCCGCCCCCGCCCGGTACACAAGCGACCGACAAATCACCAACGACTTTGTTTGTTTGGGACTCGCTCAGTGTCCCGACATGCTAATAACTGGTGCCAGAAAGTAGTTCATCTTGTCAGGGTCTCCTGTTTTCTAAACAAAGAGTTGCTATTATCTGTCCTTTGTTGTTGCTTTTCAGAGCTAATTGAGTTCTGTTTGAACTCATTTGGTGATCAACATCCATTACACTACGTAAGTTACTTACTCTGTCGCGTTTAACAGACTTTCAGAGACCTTTTGTTATCACGTCACAAGTCTAGCATTTGCCAGAACATAAAAAAAGGCCCACTAGAAGCGATATCAATTGCTTTCGGCAGCAAAATCGAGTAGCATTGGAGACACGCTTCTCACACCAACCGAACGGCCCAGCACCGGGACACCATTGTGGTTGCTGTTAAGGTCACGACTGCCAGTGACGGTTGGTGTCTGTTTATGCACTGTGAGCTGCCCCTCCCCACCCTCCCCACTCGGGCCACGGCAGTAGTCCGGTGGACACACAGGAGCCATTGTGCCGTGACTCAGTCGCTGTTTCGAGACGATGGCAACAAACTATAACGGCTCCGATCGGGTATCGGTGCCTTTCGGCAGAACTCCCACCCTGTCACCTACGCGGGACGGATGGATCTGGTGAAGGTGAGCACGGATCACGGATGATACAGAACGATCAAAGAGTGGATCCCACCTGACGAGCAGGACAAACTGGAAACTTTTGAGCGGTCGGACGGGCGACCGCGGCCATGTCTATGTTCGGACGGGTGGACCACGAACGGATTTGGTGGAGAGTCCCCAGAGGAGTGATCAAAGGGCTTTTCATAGCCTCCGAGCCTGGATGTGAAGAGTGACACCTCACGATGTCTCGCAACTAAAGCCTTGCTTTTCGAGGAGTTCAACCGGGAATACCGTTGCGGTACCTTGTAACATGATAACTATAGTAGATATGTGCTTAAATAAAAAAGTATTCCCTACTGTACTGGGTGGCTCAGCAACAACCCTTTATTTTTCGTACCTTCTCTTTTTTATCTCAGCGTAAATCATCTGTGAACATACCTGCAGCAATGGTGTAACCAGAGAGCCATAGTGTCTGCAATTAAAATTATGGCTGCATGAATATCTTTCGGATGAATTAGGACCTGCTGAAATGGGTAGCAAGAGCAATGCATCATTGTTTTACTGACACTGCATGATTTGAGTCTCACGAACTGCTAATTGGGAATAGGACAGACCGTTGCACTAGATCGCTTAACAAACCTAACTTCATCAAAATGCCTACGCGGGTCAACCCGCAAGATAATGGATTGGGTTCCGTATATCATTTCACACACCCATGTAGCTCTGGGAAAACGCACATATATTTGATAACCCATCATAATGTCCCGAGCTGAGCTTGCCGAAAACATTCGTCAAGCGCGACCTCATTTTCGCAATTGCCAGGACTGCGAGAGAACATTCGCGCTGATGGTTGCACGTACTCTTTGAAATCTTTTGGCAATTATAATTAGATTAATGGCTTGATCATAGAAGGGTCACAGGGTCAAAGCTCAAATTATGACATCACGTCACGTGCTCTCGATGTAACCGTGTCAGCTACTGACACCCCATCATCACTCGTGGGTGCTGACAATATGGCCCGTGGCGGCTCAGATTAGGTTCGTAGCACGACTTTGGCATGTCGTGCCCCGATCCGATACAGATAGACATGTAAACACCGGTTCTGCAATGCAGCCCCTGCCACGCAACAGGTCGCCTGTCCCAGGCACCCTCACATTATGACACGTTATTATAAAAAAAACGGGTCGCAAATATTCCGTCATCTGATTTCCGTCAGACTACTGCTTTGCAGCAAATTCCGGTACGAGTTCGGGGAACATTCGTGACTTTATTCCCTGAATCACGCTCGTGACAGGGTGGCCAGCTGTTCATTGCGTCAGCGGCTGTGTCTGTCCGGGGAACGGTGCGCGTGTTCGGCGTGCCGGCCCGGGGGCGGCAGTGACCCCCGCTCGGTCAGCCGCCTGCCGTGCGACCCAGAACAGAGCGAGGTCAGCCCCCCGACCGACACACACAGGAGGGAGAGAGGGCTCAGACATTGGATGACCTGCCAGCACCGCGCGGAATCCGCCAGCCACAAGTCAGTTGAGAGGGAACAAACCACTTCAACTGCATCTGCAATAACCCGGACACACCGTCTCCCTCTCCACCCTCTCTCTCTCTCTCTCTCTCTCTCTCTCTCTCTCTCTCTCTCTCTCTCTCTCTCTCTCTCTCTCTCTCTCTCTCTCTCTCTCTCTCTCCTCTCTCTTCTCTCTCTTCTCTCTCTTCTCTCTCTCTCTTCTCTCTCTTCTCTCTCTCTCTCTCTGTCTCTCTCTCTCTCTCTCTCTCTCTCTCTCTCTCTCTCTCTCTCTCTCTCTCTCTCTCTCTCTCTCTCTCTCTCTCCTCACGCAGCAGTCTACACCGCCTCTGTACTGTCGCCGCCACACCGGCCAACCTTCGGCGTCGTCCAGCTATCTGCGGCCGCCGCTAACAGGCTGGACGGCCTTGGACCGGTATTTGGCGGTGATGACGAAAATAAGGCTCTCCGCCACCACCACCGAGCGGGCTCCACAGCTGCGGGGCACCGCGGCAGCGAGGGTGTCCAATGGTGCCCGCAGGCGGACGGAGACAAACACCGCCCACTAACTGCTGTAGCGGATAGTGGCAAACTATGCCAGTGCTTCTGCAAGTGAACTCGATTGAAAACCGAGCCTTTATGCAAAACAAAAAGTCACACGCAAGATAGCATGTGTCCCAGCGCAGGAGTGACCATCACCGGGGACGGAGGACATTGAACAAATCATCAAGCCTGTGCGTTTCCTAGCTCCGGTCCCTTCCGTCCATCGCGCCCCGTGCGCCCCGTCCCGTCCCGTCCCGTCAGTCCGCCCCGTCCCGTCCCACCTCCACCCACTCCTACAGTGGGGTGCGGCCGCGGCGGCGCTGGGCCGACGCGGCCGCGGTTGCGCCATCGGCCCCGCCAACTCGACCGCCGCTTGAAAGTGGTTCTCAAGGCTCCACAATCAATCTGGGTGCCGTTAATTGGTGCGGGTCGATCGACGGCCGCTCACAAGTCAGGCTAACAACGCTGGACACGTCCGGCTGGGCCGTGAGTCAAGCGGTGGAGACAGATAGATGCGCGAGTTCTGACTATGTAGACATGACCGTGTCGGTATCTAAAACTCGAGCACTTGCCTAATGTCGTTGAGATTATGACACTCCCGTTGTCTAAATAAGTGTCATTCTTGTTATCCCTATGTTGAGCGGTTATCGGACGCTATAGCATTACACGTCTGTGAGCATTACACTAGTTTTAGTGGTGTAAACGGATTACCACACTGTTTGTTGGTAAATAGACAGGCTCTTCATGCTTGTCTTGTTTTCTGCACTCATCCTCAAAATTTAGTTAAAGACATGCAGCTTTTCCGGTAGTTATGCTTTTCGGTTACCTATATTTATTTTGCAACTTCTCATGTACCGCTATCGCAGCGTCACGCTATCACTTCGTGAAGTGGTGTATTTCAACACGCCATTGCCTGGCTGAATCACATCGTAAAACGGTCACACCCGGTTCCATTTCACGACACGTCAACCGTAAATCACCATCTTCCGACGGCTGACTCTCGGGAGCTCAGCACCCAGCGCCGCACCGGGCCCGGAGGTCGGTAGCGGGCCATGCAGAGATCCTGACGCGGGATGTGGGAAGTCAGCCGCCCTGACTTTCCTTCAACCTATACTGTCCTTTTTACTATATGCTGACCATTGTAACTGCCCATCTAGCATCTCCGGTACTCCGGGTGCCACCGGCATTCCCCTATACACCAACTGCATTTTTCTGCTCCCAATGGGTGTGTGAGTATAGTTTGTTACCGATTTTTGGTCAACCACCCTGTCAAACATTTGCCTGCAGCCGCTGCCCTGCCTACGCCCCCACCCTTTGCAACTGCACTGGCGTCGGGCCGGCACGTGAAACAGGTACCCGCCCCAGCGGCGGCCAGTTTTTCGGAGCCGGCCGGCCGGCGGGCGTTGGCGTCTAATGATCTGGAACCCGTTGTGGCCGCCGTCCGCGCCCGGTAAGCTTTCTCCTCAGCGTGCAGTGGTGCGGTGGTAAAAACGTGCCGACAGCGTCCACCTTGCTGTGACCGGCGTCAGAGAAAACAACCGGCCGGCGCCGTGTTTATAGAACCAGCTCCGTGTATCAATAACGACCAAACGACATATGATCAAATGAAGGGATTGGTTAGTTCATATGACTTATAAACACATCGGTATTTTGAACATAGTGTCGTAAAATACCTACTATGTAATTTCATTATTAATTTGATTTACATCTAATCGATTGTAAACATAAAAGAATTAGTGACAAGTTGACTGCATTCAAAAGTAGCCTGTGCATTCGTTGATCACCGGGCCTCAGCTCGTGCTGCGAGTTGTTTACCGTTCCTTACCTGTCTGATTGCCCAACCGCTAGTAATTGGCACTAATTAGCAAACCAAACAACCTCTCGCCGACTGTTGCCGCAAGTCAGAGTCAGAGTCAGCGATATCGACTCTGAGTGGCGTGAGTCTGCGGCGGCGGCGCGACTTTCCGCCCAGCTGGGGGCTGGGGCTGAGCTCGCGCGCGATTTGGCGCTCAGCAGCCGTGGCGTGACGGGAGGTTTCGCCGCGCGTTTCCTCGGCCGCAGCATGGAGTCAGGGCGGTTCCGGATGACGGGACTCAGTCGACTCTGCCGCCGGGAGGTGGTGAATGGCTCAGCGGTCCGCCTGAGTGGGATTTGTCTGAGCGGGACGCCCCCAAGGAGGTTGCGCAGACTGCTCTCATGCCTGTGTGATTTTGTTGTCACTCTTGACTACTCACACAAAATCCGACACGCGTGAAAAACTCGCTCGTCAGATTACCTTTCACAGGAATACAACTCAACTTTTACGAAACAACCCTCGTTTCTAGGCTTTAGCCTTATCATGAAGAAATAAATCAGTCCGCTCATCTGTCACCTTAAAGGGACCCTCCCACCTTAACATTAGATTTGAGTTGAGATAGCCAAAATGGGGTCCCTGGCTCACAATTACCGGTTTCGGCACTCACAACATCGAGAAATGCCTTAAATCGGAAATATTGAATTTCAAAATTGCAGCATTTTGATTCAGAGGGGCTTAGGAATACCCCTCTGAATGTGTGACGTCAGCGCAAATATCTAACGCTTTTTAAATGTTTGACTAAAACGTTTTGTAGCACGCGTCGCGGTGGTATATGCTATTTGCGCGCAACATCTGCCGCAAACGCCGCACTTCTAAAATAAAACAGCGGAGATCCCAAAAAAGTAAACAAAAGTAAAAGTCTAATATCTTGAAAACCGGTGAATATTTTTCGGTGAAATTTGGTAGATATTCTTTTTCGCTCTTTCTGAACCGAGCGACATCACTTTCATGCCAATTCATAAAATTTTTTGAAGGTGGGAGGGTCCCTTTAAGCTGCAGCTTGACCTAGCTGTGTTTCTTTTTTCAGGAACGGTACTAACGAGATGGTGAGCCGCCGGAGGATCCTGAGCCGATCGCGGGACGACCTGAACCTGGAGGCCGCCTACCAGGAGGAGGAGGATGACGTGTGGTACAAGAAGGAGAAGCTCTACAGCGTGAGTACCGAGTGTGGCATGCCCGGTCATCTTATTCGTCCCCGTAGCACAATACGCTTTTTGGAATAACTTTTCACGATAAGCTTTATGAACAATGGAGATATAAAATGGCCTTTCGGTAAAATAGCGAGAAATAGCGATTATACCTAGTCTGCAATAACTAGAGCTCAAGATTGTGAGATCAGCTAAATGTAAGATGCTGTACCGGCGTTATCCTGTAAGCTCTCCGCTTATCCTGTATTATCTCTGGCCGTTCAATCTTGTTAAATGAGGAGAAATGTGTCCTTGTGTCACTAGCGGAGCTTTAGATGAAATCGTAAGTGCTAAAGGAGAGAAGTGACCACCACATTGATATTTCCGTAATATTCGTTAAAGTGACTTTTGGTGTCATCAGTCACATTTTTGTCATTCATATATCACTCCTACACTGCAGTCCAGCCAAAAGCCATTCCAATGTTTCGCCTTCCCCATGATTTTACGTTGTATCCACCAGTTAAACGTAGCAGGGTGCTCCGTTAAACGCATCATTTCACTTTAATGCGCCGGTCCATTCACCGGGGCCCGAGGGACTCAGCTCGGAAACCCATAAAGGGCTATCGTTCCCCGGCTCTCCCTCCCGGTAATATGGATTAATTGGGAGTGCAGCTACCTGCAGGGTATTGAGGCAGTGAGTGGCCACTCACACGCACCAGGTTGGATATAGTGTGCTCTCATGTGCTCCGGGCATAGGCTGCAGTGGGTTACCCAACCTGCTAAGGCGAGTCTGAGTGGGTCAAGCAGCTTCCATGACAATGTCGTCTGGAATTTTGTTTGATATAGAAAAGGTTAAAATATGTAGTTTTAACAGCATCATCCAGAAGGCGGGCCTCTGGAACATTATAAACGCTTATAAACGCCTCTCGAGCATTATGAATGCTAATGTTTTAGCAGAAAACAACTTCGACGTAGCAAAGTTCATTTAATTTTGACCAAAATCGGCTAGTCAATCAGCCGCCGATTCCCAAACGACACGCTCCCTCACCTCGTATACGACCCAGCTGTAGTCGGAATAGATGCCTGTGAGGGTTTTCTAATGACCGACAAGTTTTCTGAGGCGGGTCTCGTTGGGAAATCAGTAACGGTTCGTGAAAGGTGTGACGCAAAAAGCCGACACGGCCGGAACTTTTATGGCGAGGCTTGAGGAGCTCTGAGATTGTATCGGCTATAGGTTAGGAGAGTGAATGTTAATAATGCCACCGTTCGCTGTGAGTTGTTATTCATGTTTGCGAAGTAGGTAGCTGGAGCATAACTTGACAATTGACATTTTGTCCTATTATTCTGCTTACTGGCTAGCAGATGATCTTTCAGCTCTTTGCAGATAAAGCCGTTTTTACGGGTCAAGGTCGTACTACTACAACGATACGGTTGATAATCGTTTTCTCACAATGACCTGTTATCCGCTTATTGCTTTCATATTACCCATCATCTTGTGGCGTTCCCTCATATATGCTTAATCTTTGGTCAATGTGGACATAAATCATTCCATATCATCCTAAAGGGAACTTGCTTTGTTCAAATGCATGCTTGCTCGTTCTATACTCTGGATAGAAATTCACATTGTCAAGTTCCCTTGATTTTGCTCAGGTGGTGTCACGTAACGGCTCTTTCTTTGTCCACCATCACCCTGCAATGTGAGACATCTTTGGAACGCAGTCACACTCCCCCTTCAACCTGTCCACGATGGGCGAACATCTGGGGACTTTTTGTTCCCACCCCGCGCACGCCGACAATTCTGTACTCTGGAGTACTCGGCGACCACCCATTGGGCATCGCCCTCCCCGCGCCGCAGTGGTGTGATGTGGAAGCAATCGAGCCAACAGTTCACAGACGGATAGACGCGCGCCTTGTCTGTCCGAGCGAACATGTCCCATCCACCGGCCGCTATCAGCGTGTAGAACTCGGCACCTCGGCTGTGGACACAAGTCGCGGCGATTGTGGACACGCTGTGGACACAAGTCGGGTCGATTGTTGACACGCTGTCAGGGAGGGGTCCGACTGGCGTCAGGACTGTCTCCTTAGTGTCTCCGCCTGCCTCTCCAGTGTCTCCGCTCGTCTCCTGAGTGTCTCCACTCGGATGTTGTTGTCTCCTCTCGCTTGTCGTTCCTCGCACAATTTGAATACCGCCTGGGATTCAGGTAAACAATGTATTTGTAGACGCTTGTCTGGCATTCGGCCCGCCACTTAGCCTCAGCTTTGTGGCGCTGTTGAAAGGTCGCTGAACCGCACACGAAGCAAAATATCCCGATCCAATCAGTAGCCCTGCACACACACGTGCGTTTCTCAACCTTTCCTTCTTCGTGACAACTGGGAGAAAATTAACGTCGTTTACCCGCATAGCTGAGCAATGAATTTCCGACCCGTTACAAAAGATATTACGTGGCTCCATAGTCCATAGCGTGTTGTATTTTGCACGGGTCTATGGCACTTATGCGACTTCCTCATGGTTCGCTTTAACAGCCCTCGCTCCGCCTTGCAAGGTCAAAGCAAATTACAGGTGGCGGTAAAGACATCTTGTCTGAGAAAACCCGACCTGGGGCAAATGAGGATCATATATCACAACTAGGAAGGCCGTCCTACCGTTTGGCACCCTACAGTTTTAATAGTTCCAACTGGTGTCCATTCCCTTTGATAGCTAAGTGCTAATTGTCTCTAAATTTATTGTTTCCTGCCTGGCCGACAGCAAGAAACAATGTACCGGCTACTGCATACTTTGATTCTACTTTCAATTATACATGGAATGATGATTAAAACACCTAGGATAGCTATTAATGTTTGCCAGTGCTCTGGCGAGGAACATGATAGATACAATTATATGAAAGAAAAACATTGACCTTTTTCCTCGAATCTATAGCAAAATTAATGAAAATTTGTTTGAAAATTTGAAAATTTGAAAGTTTTTTTTTTTGTCTTCTGCATTGTTCTTTCTTTCGTTTGATAATGGTCTGTTGGCCGAAATATCACGTAAATAAAAAGGTGATTTTTCATTAATTTTGCTATAGATTCGAGGAAAAAGGTCAATGTTTTTCTTTCATATAATTGTACCTAGGATAGCTCATTACTTTCGACCCCCCATCAGCTCAGTCCAAAGGAATTTCAATTTGTGCCAGGCCGTCCACCAACAATGATCCATGATTGCCAATCTGTTCGGAATCTCCGGGCCATCAGCGTCGTTTAGGCCGAGCGATAATTTGGACGTCTCAGTACTTCCTGGACGTCTCCTTTGTCTGGAGCTCACGCCTTGTCGCGGCCGCCGTTCAATGCCATCGAGCCCGGCCCCGCCCGGCACTGCGCGGCAGGGTGTGGCCTTACCGGCGGGGGAGGGCGGAGGTGGGGAGGGGGCCTCATCCTGCTCCGACCACACCCGTGTCTGCACGGGCGCTGTGCATAGCTGACTACCAGCAGGATACAGCACGGTGGCCGGACTGAGTCATGGGTTCTGGAGCTGGGCCGGTCGACCGGCGCCGCTGCCCCGCCGCTCGCCCGCGGCCGACCGACCAGCCGCCTTGACCTGGTTCGGCATGTTAACGACTCCAGTCTCGGCGGTCCGCCCGCGCTCTCCGGATCCCGGGCAGCCGCAGCGGGCGGCTCGGGCTCTGTCTCAACAGCCGCCACACGACTCTCGGACCCGGGGACACTGTGCGCTCCGCTCTCCCCCAGCAGCGCTCAGTGTCGCGTCGACCCTCACCGTCCGACAGTTTCTTCCGTCAGACTGGCTACATCGGGCGTCAGCTGCGCGCTGTTTTCCCCGCACCAATTGCTCGACATTGTCGCTGGCTTTGGGAGGCGCTGGAGCGGGCGGTAAGGCGGCCAGACGACGGGCGGTGAGGCGGGCCGTCGAGCCGGCTGGGGTCGATCGTTCGGCGAGACGGCGACATGCGGCGCCCGGCAGAGCCGTGAGCGATATTGCGCCGACGGTGACGCAACGAGAGCAGCCGCCCGGGTCGCCGGGTCGTGCTCTTTCCGTCCGATCGCGCTGTCATCGGGGCGGTACCGGCGAGAGGAGAGAGGGGGGTGGGTGAAAGAGAGGAGAGAGGAGAGGCTTGGACTGGGTATAGAAAGGACTGAGGTGAACATGCAGTGAGTGAAGGGTTTGCCAAAAAGTCACAGAAGAAGAGAATGGAAAGAAGAAGTGATGATAGTGCAATGGAAAGTTCCTTGTAGATATGACAAGTGAATAACAATTGGCTTTTCACTGTTGAGGTATAGGAAGCTGTCAGTTGCGTTGCATGCCATTTTATAGAAATGTAGGACTACACAATACCCGATAGTGTGGAGGGAGAGCAAGTGAACTCCAAATCTTCAATCGGTAGCCGAGCCTGCGGCCTAGAACAATGAACATTCACCGGTCTCAGCCGGCAGCGGTGGCGGGTCGATTTCTCGGCCCTCAATACGATTCGGTCACAGTTGGCTGGCTGCTGAGTGGTCTGTCTGTCCGCGGGCGACAGACCGCCATCAACTGGCAGAGCGCCGTTTGCCTCCCCTCCGATCATCCGATCCTCATTGCTGCGGCCCCGGAGGGTCCCCGGGGCCCGCCGAGGCCCCATGAAGACCCGGGGGCTGTTTGGGTTCATATTCTGATGGCGTCTGCGGCCGTTTACTCGGGCGCTCGGTGGATTGATTGGTTTCAAATAGTGGCTGGCTCGGGGCGCGTTTTGGGTAAGTGCGGCACTGCTGGAGGTAAAGGGGCGGCAGTGATGGCGGCGGCTGCGGCAGTGTTGATGGTATGTTGAAATCCACCGCGGGAATGTTACAGAACAGGGTGATCGCTGCCGCCTGGAGGGGCTGGTGACGCCACCACACGTCAGTGAGACCTGACGTCAGTGAACGCTGACGTGGTGCCGCTGGAGCCTGGAACGCAAGTCGATTGGCGCTTATCATTAGAATGTAATTAACTTTGCGTTGACATACCGACCTGATGTACACAAATCCAACATGCTATCTCTGCCATGGCAAAATAAATGTCAAGCTGCAGCGTGAGGCTTTGTGAAGGTCCCTGCATCGCTGATGGCTATCGCCGTGATGAAGACGAATGCTAGGGAAATTGAGGTTCGTTTAACGGTGACCTAGTTGAATATTCCAGAAATGACCAAAGCTGTAACGGAGCCCCTCAGTATCGATAATTACGGACTCGGGATATTTATTGGTACCATTAAAGTCGGAAACCCAACCAATCATTGCAGAAACAGTCAGCTGGCCGCATTACGCTGTCCAGTCAGGTTATAATCATCATTCAGTTCAAGGCTGGTTGCTGGCGGCCGGCCCGGCCCGACCCTCCCTGGCAGCGGGCCATGAGTGCTCACCCCCTCCGCCCTCCGCTCCACGGCGCCACCGCTGCAGACATTGCCCGCGGCCGACAAGAATCGAGAACACTTTCGATCGCAGCCCATGAATCCAGGTCGCTCGAGCGTCACCGTCAGTTGGCACCCCCGCGGGCGGCGTTCGTAAACCAACCGTGAATCGCCGCCGCCTGTAGTGTTAGCGGCCAACGCAGCCATGCAGTCTCCGACACTAGTGCTAGCGGCTATTGCAGCCGCGCAGTCGCTGGTTACTTTCTATGTCGCCGCCGCAGTCTCCGCGATCGGTGACGCGTGGCTGAGGCGGTGGCTCTCGCCATACGCGACAGAGGAGCGGTTTGAGGCCGGCGGCGCGGCCGCAGGGCGGGATGGGTGCGGTCCAGTGGATGCTGGGTCTGCTGTCGGTTTCGACCACCTGTCAGAAGCAAATTCAGGCCACCCTACCACCACCCAGTGCGCTGCACAGATGATCAGATGCTGTTCTCTCAAGCATCACTGAGTTTGTCGGCTGATTTACTGCACGTTTCTCCGCCTCTCACTGTTCTGTGTCGTCCTTTCACCTTTGCTTTAACCTCATTGTCATTGTCTGCTGCAGTTCGATCAAGCATGCTAGCACATCGTTATTGCACCGAGCATCTGATGGAGATCTTAAATCCAAACAAAATGGAATACAAACATTCCTGTTACATTCCCCACATCGGTCATTCCTCTTGTCTGCAGGGCTTCTTTGTCCATACCATCTCGCCATTGTTTACTCTCCCATAGTGAGTACCATACCCAACCCTCGTCGTTGGTCATGGCGTCAGCCGGTCCTCACCGCACTCTCTCGTCTGTTTCAGGACCACATCAGGGAAGTGCTCGCCAAATGGGACTCGATCGATGACGAGATCTGGGCCAAGATCATCGTGTTCGAGCGCAACCGGCGCGTGGCCAAGGCATACGCGCGTGTCGGCGTGCTCACCATCCACGGCTCCGATGTCGGCTTCGACGGCAGCAAGTGAGTGACGATAGACCCCGCGCCGACGCGACGATTGCGCCATCGAGGGGGGAGGGCAGAGTGTGAGAGTCGGCGGGCGACAGCTCACTGTGGCACACAGCGACATGGTGGCCGACAAACACGTCCCAACAGCGCGGCCATCTGATCTCCTTGAGGTGCTCCAGATAACGTTCTCGGCACGTCGCGCGCGTCGTGCGGCGCGCGCTGCTCACCAGCGCACGAGGAGCGAGCAGTGGGAGCAGCCCTTTCGTCGCCGAGCTTTATCTGATCGCTGCCTCACTTTCTAATCAAACATTCATGTCGCGACGGTCGCGGAGGAGGGGCGTTGACGCAATGCGGCGCGGACCATGGAACAGAGGAGGGATGGGAAAAGACGGGACGGCGATCGCTACCTGTAATACCCTTGTGTCTCTTTCGCTCCCCTTCCTCGTTTCCACTTTAGCTTCAGTGCTCTCTCGTCGACTCATAAAGTCATAGCTTTGCCCACCCGCTTATGCTGACTGCTTTTAGATGTGACCTGAAATTCCGCCTCATAAGCTATTTTATCTTTGAGAAAATAATCGAAGAAGTAATTCAGTGTGATCACTTTAGTGTCTCAAAAGTCATGTTTCACAATCCCATGTCCCGTTGTGCGTTCATAAATGCCGCCTGGACAAAACGGTACTAAATTCAGAAACAAATTTATGTTCTGTACCTCTACGTGTAAGTAGATGTCATCTCGTTCATTTAATGCACATTCTGCTCTTTCATTTGTCGGACGGTGACGTTGATGGTTCAGAGTGCTCACGCCACCCTGGCGACCCACCAGTGAACCTATTAGTTAATTGGAGCTGTGGTGACCTTGGCTCTCAGAGAGTACCGCTAGGCATTCTCTGTGCACTTTTCTCCCTCAAGGTCAGTCGCAGCGTCCAGTCGGCTCCTCCGAACAGTGCTGCTGCTCGACGGACGGGATTAATTGATTTTCCGTTATCAGTGGTTGCCTTTAGTTGAAGCACTGACACATCCGAATTGACTATGTAGAACGTTAATGGTGATAATTTATATTGATGTGATGACTTTATCCGAAATGTGAAGCTGCTGCTACATAGAAGCCCTGGAGATTCATATGCCACCTTACAGTCAAGTGACATTGGTATTAGATTTATAAGCAAGAATTCAAACACAGTGATTCAATCTAAACGCTGACACTGCTGAAGCACCGTCGTCAACACATTGCCGCAAGCAATGTGATATCGCTGATGAACCATAAAAAACAAACATGTGCCCATGCCTTAGGAACGCCCCAGAATAAGTTTGGCTGACGCTCAAATATCACACAAGGAAATGGTCCTTTTTATCTCATATGACGCATGCTTTATGAACCCCGGAAATAGTTTCCAATCATTTATTCGAGCGGCGCCACCGCCTGGGAATGTGCCAGTCTGGCAGTGTCCCGATACAGGCGCCCCATCAGCCATCTGTACATCTTCCTAATGGATGGGCCTGCTTCCCCGCCACGCCATGGGTTGAAGGTCAGCCGGTCTGGATTGGACTGGGGAGGTCCGGCAGGGGGTGCGCGGTATAGCGGGGTGTCGGGGTGCTCCGGAGGTCGCCCTGTGCTACCCACTCCGCCTCTGCGCCCACCTTTTGGGCCTGTCCCACAGCTCTGAGGGCAGGATAGGACGTTCCTCACTCACTCCCCTGCTCCGGTGGCCCGGCGCGGACCGGTCCAGGATCACGCTGCTTCCCCGTGACCCCGGCGGCGGGTCGGCCGGCCGGGTGGCAGCCGTCTGTACGCGGGCAAGGTCCGCCGCCCCTGCGGCCCAAGGTCGCCCGGTGGGTCGGACGGCGTTTTTATGCGGCCGACGCGGTGCTCTGGCGGTGCCCGCGGCCAGACGCGGCCTCTCGGTAGGCCTGCCCGACTGCCATCCGGCCGCGGAGGACCCGCCCCGTCCGAACCGAGCATGGCCCATGAGCACGTGACCACACGGGGCTGGTATGAGGGCACGGGGCGGTCGGACACGTGACCGGTAAAAACGTGGCCACACGGCTCTCAGAGCCGGTCTTCAACGTGTCCCTGGCGAGGGAACAGCGGCTTGGACAAGCTACCGCATATTGACACGTGGCAAGAGCACGCATCATCGAAATAGCACGGATAGGCAGTAGTGGCTGAAAAAGTGACAGCAAGAATGCTTAGCTTTTTATATTGAAATGAATTTAAATTAAATGGTGATCACCAAATTAACAGACATTTGGCTTACTGTTTTCTCCGAAATATGTGAGAAGTTATTTCTAAAGGATAGTTTAAATCCATCACATAGAACAAAGCATATAACTTTAGAACTTAGAAGTGACCTGCTATTTGAGGATCAAGTTTCAGGTAAGATGGGAGTGGCTACAACATGGATAAATCATGACAGAGAACGGAACAGAAACCCGGTCTGGGGCGGCCGGAAGGGAGTGCCCGATGGCTAATGAATACCCAGGACAATCGCGGGCCTTGGGCAAGGTGTAATTATTCAAATTACCTGTGCGAGATCGTCTAAGCTATGCACCTCGCTGTCACACCTTTTTAGTGGAATAGAAACTTAATTTCACAATCACCGATCCGTTCGTTCGAAGGCGAAAAGTATCTCACAATTATTGACAGACAAATTGTTGTTATCGAGCCACACCGGCCAATCACCATGGAAACGTATCCTGTTTACGTGATATATCCGTGCAGTCCGAGCATGTCTGACGTTCCCTAGATTGAAGTGTTTCACGCTGAATCTCTGGATACGTTCTCCCCTCCCCTCTAACTTCAGCATCCTGTCTGCCTCCAACTCTAACTCTATTGTTGACCTGTCTCTCTGATACCTCTCTACGTGTGCTAGCTCTGTGCGCCTCTATCAATATGTGCTTTACACACATCTCATGACGGAGTGTGACTTCTGAGTACACTTCTCGCCGCCTTCACGGGGTCCCCCAGCACCTCAGCTGTCGCCACATTCCCTCCGCCCCCCCCCCCGCCCCCGCCGCCACGCCGCCCCCGCCGCCACCACGCCGCCGCCGTCAGCCGCTCGAGCGCCGCCGCCCCCACGCTTTATGCATTTGGCAATGTGACGGCGCCGGCGGGTGGAGGCAGCGATCGGGCTGGCGGCCGGCACGCGCGGTGACGCCATTCCCCTAGCGTGGGAGTCGGGGAGTCCAGAGGGGAGGGGTGGGAGGAGCGTGACCGCCCGCTGAAGGCGTGATGCTAACGCCGCCCCCGCCCGGTGTTTCAGAATCGGTCTGTGCGGCTTTGACAACCCACTGAGGGATCCCAAGATCGACGAGGTGAAGCGTTACATCGGCGCGGTGAGTAGGGAGTCCAGGGTTGGGGGGAATGGGCTGAGTGGTGTGTCACCACGCTTCGCTGACAGCAGTTTTACGTGGTTTGGATTGTGGTGCTAATTCGATACACGATATTCAGCTTAGTCATTTTTGTCAACACACGCGATCAATGACTCATTGTTAGCACATCACTAAAACAAAAAATATTGACGAGAACCCGCTATCACCAAGCCAAATGAAGGGTGTTTTCCGTTTCTTATTTCCTCTGACAACAAAAAAATACATTTATGAACGTGCTGCCTCCTTTTACAGGGTGTAAAGGTGAAGATGGACAACGAGGGTAACTTGATGGTGAAGCGACTGGCCAAGTCCAACGTCTACGTCCGCTACGCCACTGGAGAGAACGCCGTCGGCTCCGACATCCTGAAACTTCCACAGGCCGCGCTGGAGGCCAACAAGGGACTGGCGGTGAGTGCAGATAGCGATAGGTGCCGACCTGACAGCTGGGGAGACTGTAAACCGTATGTACTTTCTAAAACAGTGGTTTTGCTTTTTTGCCCTTCCACTGTTAAAACTCCATTCAGACATGCATCAAAGTTTGTCACAATTTTGGTTTTGTCTTTCTTTGATTTGTAAATGTTAGGAACAGCAATGTCTGACTGATGGATAGGATACATAATACACCTTATTAGCCAGATTACTGAATGTCAAGGCACACTCTCCCCACATTCTCAGAAACAAGATCCTGGGGATTACAGTCATTGACACCCAAAACTGGTTGACAATGCAGACTTTGCGACAGTGGAAGTACAGGTTTAGCTGGAATCTGAATAGAAAAGTTACTTCACTCCAAGCCGTGAAAGCGAATCTTGCCTCAAGAACCACTACCGTAAATCTCTGACTTAGCCGTAAAACCGCAGCACTAAGAGCACGTTGGTTGATTCCATGATGGGAGCTTTTAGAGGCACACATAGTGGCTAATTAATAGCGTGGGAATGTTTTTGTCGCGTCGCTGGCGCCGGACGCAGATGGCTCCGGCGTCACGGCCCATACGGCGGCCATCATCCCGCTCCAACAAAGGATGATGGCACGTTAAAGCACCGTAAAATAACCACGCCGTCGATTTTGGAGATAAAAACTGGGCGCGGTAGGCAGACGGCGATTCGCGCCGCGCTGTGGCACAAAGGCGCCGGGATGGTGTCGATCACGGTGTGACACGTGACCATTGTAGTGTTGTACGTACACGATCGACAATGCGTCACGTGACCAGCGTGCGCGTTTTGTCTTCGAAATCGGTGTGTGTGGTGCGGGAAGGGCTGATCAAAATCCGGCCGCCACCTGCCGTTTATCCAGGCGGGAATATGGTTGAAATTTGATGGAGCTTTGAATGACATGGACACAGATGGAGACCCAACTTCGCTGATTTGCTGATGCGCAAAACACGTAACATCTAACGAGGGAGCGCTCACTTTGCATATGGATGAAGTTAACACGAACTTCAGAGCATTGACAGATTTGTTATTCAGCCTAGACCTTCAAGCCACGAGCACGTGTATAATTAATGAAACAGGTTCTCGGAAAGCTGGCTAATTTTGTACCGTTATCCATAGGAACATCGTGTTTGATGAGCTCGCTGTTACCATGGCCGTAATTCTTTTTACGGCATTTCAAATCCATATTCATTTACATCTATAAAACATACGACACAGAAAAACACGTCACTGAAAACTAATCGCATTAACCCTCGCCCGCACATGGGGGGGGGGGGGGTGGTTGCCACCCCCCCCAGGTAGTCTTTCTGCTCTGCACTCAACATTTTTAGAGCTAGAAGGCTGATTTTTCGTATAGCTGCTCCTCTATCATTTCTTGATGTCCACTGAAAATTTCAAGTTTCTGTGATTTTTGGTTTCGGAGATATGACCTTGTTTGTCAGGTCATGTCATGACCCAAATGGCCAATTCTCAACATATTGCGTTTGCCATGGGCCTTATGAGCTTTTGACACCCTGATTTCGGCCTTTTTTGCCAGTCTTACCTCCCACCTATCATGGAACATGTTGTTCGACGATGTACAGGGGTCAAGGTCAGGGTCAAGGTCAACCTAGGTCATCTAAGATAATTGCGTTTTAGGCAAGCTGGATTTACTTTTTTGAAGTTTTTTTTACTGCATTTTTGGTAAAAGCTTCTCAGATAATGATTTCATGTAATATGGACCCAAAAACAATCGGTGCACACATCAGTATACACACAGACACACACAGACATACAAACACATATAATTGACCTTGACCTAACTTGACCTGAAATGACCTCAGCAGCAAAATTCTGGTCGGGTAGTGTGACAAAGAGGTTCTAGCTGGCTTGGCACCAGAAAACAGCATCGTCATCGGTATTTGATAAGCAGCACACTTGATATCCAACGGTGACCCAAAACAGCAACATTTTTTAGTTTGACCTGACCTGGAAGGTCAATGACTGACCTGAGAAGGTAAAACTGGGTATCATTGGATTCGTCTCTTCCCAAAGAATCTTTTTGGTCTTTACCGCTAAGCTCTATCTCCAACAGGAACGAAATGGCGCGGGGGGGGTGGCAACCCCCCCCCCCCCCCCCCCATGTGCGTTCTAGGATGGGAAAATGGCATGTGCGGGCGAGGGTTAATATGCACTGCTGTTATGTTCTCATTTGTCAGTATTTTTCGGCATTCTTTCAACTTTCAACCTACAACTTTCAATAAGTTTCTCAGTTATTTTCTGCGTTCTCCGTACATTCCTAACTCACATCAATGCAGACAATCTCAACTCTCAAGTCCCGCTAAAAGCTCCAAAGCTCACTCGCTGCTGGTCTGACCATAGCTCCCCATTCTTCCCTCAGCTGTTCGACCTGAAGAAGTTCCACCAGAACGTGAACCGGGAGCTGAAGCGTCAGTACCCCGATCGCACCCGGCTCGAGACTCAGTGCATGACCTCCCTGGCCTTCGTCAAGAACGACGACGACCTGCTCAACTGCCCGTGCTGGGTGCTCATCATCAACATTGTCGCCCTGGACATGCTGAAGGGCAAGCTGATGCCAAGTAAGTCGGTGGTGAGGGTAGCGGCGGGTGGCGTCAGTGGAGGTATATCCTCTTTTTTTAGGAGTGTCTCTGCAAACAGGTCCGGGACGGTGCGGTGAATTTGTTAATTTTATGGAGAAACTTGCGGTTAGATGGTGATGCATCCCGCAAAGCTTTGCAACATCATGCATGCACCATGTGGTTATTTGTTCGGTTAGAATGTCAGGGCGCAATAAGCGATTCACCGGCGATAAATTATCTGCCATTCGAAGTCCGCCCGTTTTTCTGCAATGTCAGGCCGCTCGCGTGTGAGACTGTGCCATCTTCTCGTGCGCCGGTCGCGTGTGAACCGGGGCTTTACCGCGCCTCTGCGCTGCTCATACCGTGTCGCAATGGCCGCCGCCCGCCGCGCCAACTCTGCACACCCTGGGGAGTCCATGGCCACTTGAGCTGGCAGAGAGCTCGACCTCAGCCGGTGCTGTGGGCATGTTCCGTCCCACATAACAAACACACAGAATATAGCACGGGATATATCACACTCAGCACGAAAAACAGCCGACATACGGCTTGTCTTAATTTTCACATAACGCCCGCCCGCTGTTTTTACTATCCATATCCGTTGGTATACTCCTCACAACCTGATTTGCTTCTCAAATACCCCACACATACTGATTTGATTCTCATTTATGGCATCATTCTTCATGGCTTTTCCATAATGCATATCCAGAGGATTTCCCACCAAAAACTTTCTACCGTAACGCAGATTCATAGCCATTTACCGAGATCCATTACGAAGAACGTAGCTTATTTGCAATCCACATCATGCAAATTCTAACTGACGTTCGGATTTCCCTTTCAGCCTCGATACCTCCTACGGTGGCCAACCCCGTCGTGCAGAACGGAGCCCGGAATCGGATCCCGATTCCGGACGAGGATCCGTACAGTCTGGCTGGATCCGGAGGCGGATCCGGCGGCAGCTCGGGATCCTCTGGGAAACCGAGCCGGGAGCGGCCACCGAAGCTGCCACCGCGCGATACGGACAGCAGGAACGGACGGCGGGAGGTGAGTTGGGTATAGTGGATACTGGGGAGAGTGAGTTGAGGGTACGGAGTGAGAATGTATGTACAATATTGCACAGTCTGGCACAATATTAGGAACATTAGCAATAGTGGTTGCAATGCTCCGTGAGAAGAATATCTGCCTTCCATTTTTGCTGGCGGATGGCTGTCACTTTTTTTTGCAAAACTTGTTTCACAGCTGAAAATGATTACTAATTCCGGAAGGGAACGCACCATCTCTCTTGTTCCATAAGTAGCGATGGAACCATTTCCAGCTCCGTTAATCTGGCCATCCGTCACCGCGCGATGACGGCTCTGCTGATCTTTCCATGTCTGAGGAAGGCCAATGGCGCCCACCCGCCGTCCCGAGGTGCCACATTAGCTCAGTGAAAAGTGAATGTGTCATCTTCAGAGAGCCGGAAATTGGGATTAGTACGTACTAACGGAGTTTTTACTATTAATATCGCTTAAAAGAGTTCCTGTCACTGGCGATATTAATAAGGCACTCGCATGAAGTGCGTGGGAGTCCAATTTTATCATACCTACTTTTACTTCCTACTATTTTAGAGCCGGAAATTATAAAACATAGAACCGAATTTGCGTTTGTATTATTGACGGTATGGTAATTAAAACGAACTGATAATGTCAATTCAAAAGTATTACAAACTCTTAAAATTTGTTCTATCAAATAAAAGCAAAAATTATACTTATTTTAAGATCACTTTTTGATGCTGCCCAGGTGAGCAACACTTTTTGCATTTCAATTTTTTTTTGTACGAAATCTTGTATGTTCATCTATAATGCCTATTTTTGGCGCAGGGGTAAGCCAACGATAGACCATTGTGTGCATATTTCCTCTGGAAATTAATGTCAGAACTTACACATCACTAGCACTCAAACACGATTTCGAAACATCAAACAAGCCTTTGTCGTTACAAAATGTCGCCGATTTGTGAGAGAAAGTAGTCAGTTGAATCTTCCCTCTTTTGTTAGCCGCCTGGGCTGGCCTTCGATGGTCTGACCCACCATTTAGCGTTGCTGAACACATTGTCGCCTCCCATCAAACTGACAGCCGTCCAGCACAAAAACCCGGCAATAACAGCTTCCCGAACAGTTTTCTGATAACCGCCAACTCCTTTCTTAACCGCGTCCATCCAGTAGAGACCACAGCCATGTTAAACAACTCACACAATGCCTCAGACACTGCCTCTATCGACAATTTTCACCTCGCAGCGATAATCGTGATGACGGAAGTCGCCGAGTCAGTCACAGCTGTCCTCGGGTCACGAGGTCACCCGTGGGGGTCACCCCGAAGACGAGGTCACATCGTGACCCCACCCACACCTTGTTCGTCACAGACACCGCCCTTTGGTGGCGCAACCGGAACCACACAGCCCGCCCTGCCCGTGCCACATGTCACAGCGTGATCCATATTGATGAGTGTGGGTCGCCTTTGAAACTCAACAACCAGGGGAGGCTGGGGAGGGACATGGGGCGGCGACGGGCGTCCCGGCTAGGTGGGTAATCGGCGCAGCCCGGCGGCGGGGCGGCGACAGGGAACGGCCAGGGATGACAGTCGCCATGGGGAAAAACATATACGGACCCTGCTGGAGATACCAAGGCCTCGAAAGGGACGCCGCAAAAACAGACGGGCGCCAGACGTGATGGAAAGGAAGATGAGTCGTACAAATATCGGAGTGACAAGAACCCAGGCGGCCCATGTTTAATGGCTTGTGATTGATTCATCATCAGGGTGCTTATGGGCATGCCACTCCTGCTCATGTCAACCGATCAAGTCTCTCATCTCAAGGTCATTCGGCCGAATATTTCTTATTTTTCCTTCATTACCAAAACCAGACAAACATGCCAAAACTTTACTAGTGCTGCAGATAGGAGGATTGCTCTGCTCGACATTCTCTGAGAGAACATTCATAAATATTTTAGTTCGTTTTCGATGATGCATGTCTTTCATCGTCTTCGTTACTTCCGCTGTCCTTGTGTCGTAACCTGCCACTCCTGTGACCCCATAACACCTGCTGGATCGCTCTCACGTCTTTTCCCCCTCTCCCAGGACTACACGGACGACACAGACGATATGGAACAACCTCCGATGCAGAACGGTGGCGGCGTCAGCGGCCTGAGAGCCCGTCTTCAGTCGTCGCGCAGCAAGAACAAGAAGGAGAGGAAGAAGGGAGGTGAGTGTCACACCACAGAAACACACCCGCCTGTCAGTCAGTCCAGGGGAGAAAGCGAAAGGTTCAAAGTGAAGTGACGACTTGCTTGAGTCGTTGGGATAGCTGGATAGCTGCCTTGGAGTAGAGATAATGCACAAAGCTAAAAAAAGCGAGAAGCTCCAGTGGCTCACTCTTTTTCACGTCCTCCGTTCGCCGTCGCGTGCTTGTTCAGCCATGAGTCACTAATGATCAGATGCCACCCAAGTATTGGCGTTGGCGCAGATTATTACAGCATGAGTCAGGACTGGCTCCCCACTTGAACCTGCCAAACGACGACTCACGCCTTCCGCCGGGGTAAGACCGACCTCGTCTCCGGGCAAGGCCGACACGGACACCCCTCGGCGCGATGGCGTTCCACCCGCTGTGACACATCAACGGGTGGTGATACGACCGGCGGACGGCCCCAGACCGATCCTTATTTCCCGCTGAAACCTGCTGAAAACCACAGCTGCGGTGACCGCGTCGGTTCGGAGGAGAAGGGCGAAGGGACGTGGCGGTTAGCCCCGCTCTCCGCCATCGCCACATCATCTGGAACAGGATCTAACACGGGAACAAAGAACCGCGGACGGGAAAATCTGCTCCCGGCACGGGCGAGTTATATTGCCGACACGACACTTGTGGATCAAACTTTTTTAAGAACAACCCGCGATACCTACCCAAGCGTCCACCGACGTGATGTCTAAATCCTCCTCTCGACAGTAAGGACGGTGTAGGATGCATCACAAAGCAAGAGGAGTGGCGTTGAGGATATATCACAGCTCCCGTCCGACGCGCCGAGCTCGGGCGGCGGCACGGGGCCGACGTGGGTAGCTCAGGGTCGCCGGACGCGCCGGGGGTCGGTACCCATCAGCGCTGTCCCCGGGGTGCTGGACAGGCGGAGCTGCTGCAGGGAGGGGCAGAAATAGGGTCACGCCGCAGGTCCGGCTCGCTACTGACGATGGATGAGCTCGGCTGACGCCTCCCTGCAGGGCGGGGTTGTGTATGACCGCGGATAGATCAGCGGCCACCGTGCAGTGCTCTGCACTCAGGGTGGAGTGGGAGGGAGCCGAGTTTGGTCAAGTCGTTATGGGGTACTTTATGATGAGCGATTGCGCCTGTCAGAACTAGGCTTGACATCCATTTTCAAGGCCGTCAAGGTGACCAGCTATTATCCCGAGGTCTTCTGTTGAATTTAATCACAACTCTCATCGAGGTTCTCCCACTTATGATAAATTGCAGCATTTACGCATTATTATAACGCCCACGCTAATGCAATTATAATCATCGGAAACTTCCTGAGTCGCCATGACGTAAGCACCTTCTTATTTACTGATGTCATGCATTTTGAGACTTCTAAGGACACGAGTAATTATTTCCACTTTATCCCCCTTTCACTATCACCTTGGTTCTATGGTTTCCCGCCGACAGTTCATCTTATTACCCTCATTTAACCTGCTCGCGTTACCTGGCAGCCTCCCCACTGCCTCTCGGCACCCTCGGACATCCATCTTCTCCCCCCGTGCAGTGCCCCCTGGTCGGTGTTTGTGGCAGGCCGCCCCCGGCTCTCATGTCGTGCAGCGCCCAGATGTAACCAGAGCCAGTGGGCTGCAGTAAACAGACTGCAGCGGCCGGCCTTGTGGCCGCTGTCAGCGTGAGGTGTACCGCCCCCGGCCGGCCGCTCCGGGCCAGAGCGACACGAGCGGGCTGGGCGGGGTGCTGGGCACAGTTACCACCGAGGAGTGGGGGTGGGTGCTGGGCGCAGCCCCCGCAGGGTGGGTGCTGGGCAGTGGGCACAGCCCCGCAGGCTGGGTGCTGGACACAGCAAGGTGGAACATTGCTGGGTGCTCGCAGGCTGGAGTATTGTTGGGTGCGGGGCACAACCCCCTCAGGCTGGAGCATTACTTGGGCGGGGTGCTGGGCTCGGCGGCACCCACAGCAATTTGTACTTACAGGGTTTCCCCTTAAAGTACAGAGGAGAGGGCATGATGACCACAATTATTTCGAGGTGATACGATAGAGTCCAGCACAGTGCATAAATGAATAGCAAGTGATTCTTCGAAAGTGTAATTGAAGGGCGCCTTCTCGAAGCCATCAACACAAGTAATTTGTTCGCTTTGCTTGGCTTTAATCAGGGACAGCTACATTCCGAACTGAAACTTGTGCAACAACTATAAAAGTTATGTGTTTTAAAACGTTCTTGCTTGTCCTTATTTAGCTATGACACGTCTTTCAAAAATTGTAAATGGCAAACGTTTTGTCATTTCTGAAACATATTACTGCAACAGTATTTATCTATTTCTATCCGGTAGATTATTAGTCATCCTTGACCCGGCGGATTTCCCTGTATGTAAGTATGCGCTCTGGCCAGCCTCACACTTCTCTGCCAGCTTGCAGGCCCGCCGGGCCGCAGCGCGGCGCGATAAGACCCAGTGACGTCACGACCTCTTGGCGGTCAGTCAGATGAGAGGCCTCGATCAGAACCTGTTTTACTTTCACCGAGCGGCGGCGGCGGGGGCGGGGGCGGGGGCGGTCGGGTGGGTCCCAGAGGCAGTGGCGCCGCCGCCGGGCGGGGGCGGGGGCGGGGGCGGCGAGAGATAGAGCGGGTAGGGGCTGGACTGCTGCCAGAGCAGAGTTGCACTATGCAGTGCAATGGATGGCTCTGTCGTGCTGGACCGGTTGTGCGGCGGCACTAAATTTAGAACAATGATCTTGATGGGTGACATTGAGAATTCCAATGCTGCATGTATGCTGATAATGGTCTAAACAATCCTCACTTGTGACAGTCATGAAAGTCGCAGAAATTTACCAAATTGATGGATCAGAAGGCATCTCTTCTCACGCTGTCAGATAACTCTCAGTATCGTTCAAATTGCTCCGTCTGAAGAGGACAAAATACCAGGAAGTCGTTCAAGGTTAAGTTGGCCTTTTTGTCTTCTAAGATCCGTGACCAACGGTTAGATAACTAAGGGTCAACAGAGAGTTCATCATCTGCTAACAGAATTAGCTCCCTGAAATAATCACCGACAGATATTGACAGTGGCAATCAGCGATACAATCATCGTCAATACGCGAGTCTCACACTTCTAAGTTTATCAGCGATTCTTTTTACCACCCTTTAAACTAACTATTTTCCCAAGGCATTCTCGTCTTGTCGCCATTACGGCAAACGGTCGCGACAGCTCATCAGTCAAACAAACTGGATATCTGTCGAAACAATCTCCCGCTCATTTAGATCAAACGTTTATCACTCGAACGTTCCGCCTTTTGACGCACAAGGCGGTGGTCTTCCAGTGGAGTGGACTTATGGCGTGCGGTGACCATGTGTTGAACGAGGTGTCAGGACGTAGAGAGAGTGTCCCTCCTCTCTACGACCCAACCCATCTGTCGATGTCTGTCCAGCGGCAGATGACGGCTGGCTGGTGACAGGTGACAGGTGTGGGTGCTGCCAGGTGATATATGACAGCAATGATCGTTGTCCGGTGACAGATGACAGGTGGGAGAGCTGTCAGGTGGAATGGTGACAGTGGACAGTGGCTGGTAGGTAAATTGCCACCAGAAACCTCCACACTTGGACAAAGTATAGAGGGAAAGAGCGTGAGGGACAGAGAGAGAGAGAGAGAGAGAGAGAGAGAGAGAGAGAGAGAGAGAGAGAGAGAGAGAGAGAGTGAGAGAGAGAGAGAGGGGGAGAGAGATTCAGAGAGAGGTGGGAGTAGAGGCAGAGGGATGGACGGAGAGGGAATGCTTGCGTCGGCGTTTTAGAGAACGTGCGTTGGAGACGATGTTTGCTTTTTGCGAATATGGGTATGCGCATTGCAGGTAGTTTGTTCGCTATCGATCAGAGCAGAATGCTGATATGAGGTATCCGAGCTTCTGTAAGCGGTTTGCGATTGAGCAAGATTGCAATGCGAACGGCTACGTGAACAGAAAGAAGAATCCTACCGTTTACCAAGACACCGCCAGCTAAAAAGACCATTACAGCGATGCGTGTTCGAAACGACCAGTTTCGAAATAATGATAAACATCAGAAATCTCAACTTCTAATCGCTAAGGCAGCGCAGGTTTGTCAGATACCAGTCTAAAATACATACTCGCACTTCATCATACTCAGATCACACGCACTTAATTCACCACTATCAGAGCTTAATTAGGCCAGCAGCGCCGCGCTGGCGACCGCTCCCCATATCAGCACGTCCACTCGGGATATCACACGCACGCCGGCCTCCTTTTTACCCCCTGGGCCACTGCACGCGAGCACCCCTGCTGCGCGACCACTGCAGCCAGCGACGACGGCGGCATAGACTCGAGCCGTGTGCACTTTTTGTCTCTCTCTCCTACAGGAGGAAGACGAATGCACCGCGCGTGCGCGCCGTTCGTAACCCTTCTCAGCAGCGGGCTCAGGCGGCGACGGCGGCACGCCGCGGTACGCGTGTCACTATTTGTATGCGAAACGCTACAGTCGTTTGACATCGCCGATCGCTGACTGCATGATAACGGATGCAGGACACATCCGTTTGCTGTTGCACAGGCCGCTGTGACGCTGCATTGCCGAGTTGATGTCACAGAGGCAGTTGCTCTGCAGGCGTCCTGCCGCTGCTGGTTACAGCGTCACGGCCGGCTGCTGTTGTTGAACAGACAATTTGTTCGATAATTTGTGTGCTTAGCCAAATAGAGGCGGTTAATCTTCTGACCTGAAAACAGCCGAGCTCGTCCTGCTGTATAAGTGGTTTAGTTGAGCAGGCCAGTGGGAGTGACATTCTTCAACATCAACGGCGTGACGTCCATCCCTCAGAGCTTGAGAATGGTCAATGGAATGTGAAAAACAGAATCATTTTCTTTAGCCGTATGTCATGGAGTAAATGCAAGTATTTAGACCGTAAAGATAACTCGTGAAATAATGGCAGACCGCACCAATCTCGCAATTCAAAAACTTGTGCGGTTACCAAGAGTGCGGTACAGGTGGTCCGTAAATTCAGACAAAGGTATCGCAGTGAAACAATGCCGCCCTCAGAACTTCGTCTGGCCACGTGATTGTGAAATGACACTGTGGTGTGTAATTGCGAAACGACACCAGCCACCAGGCACCTGGCCTTATTTATGAATGAAGTAATTTGCTCTAGATAAAATAAGAAGTTAAAGAATAAGATTGCATGGACAACCGCAGCAACATTAAAAAAAAAAACTAGTAAAAGGCACCTCGGAATTACATGGGAGCATTTGGAATAACATTAAACCTGAATTCACCAATGGATAAAAATGCCTTTTGCCAAGATCTGGAAGGAAGTTTATGTCACTATTTTCTGTAGCGAGTGTGTCTGCTCCACATTTACATTTGACATTTACATATGACATATACCCCAATTGATTTCGCTCCATTGTTCGTAACGCCATTGACGTAACCTTCGTTCGTACTCGTGTTGATCTCGAGCCGCATAAGTTCCTCGCTCAGGAAATATCATAGCCATTTTTCACCGAGACAATGTCTAAAATGTCCGCCCGAGTAGTGTCTGTAATGCGCCCTGGATAGCGCTTTAACGGACACCGGACAGTGCTGTAATATCCACCCGGAGTCTGGACGTACTTGTTCCGGCGAAGGTCGCCACCGAGTGCCGTGAGAAGGCGCCGGCCCAGATCAGCCGGACGCCGGAGGTCACCCAGGGACGCGCGACCTGTCCCCGCACCGACTCGCCTGCGACCGACACCGGCAGCCACATGGCTGCGGGCTGGTATCGGTGCTAAGACGTGCTTAGGACGCCCAGACGGTTGTGTAATGGTAATCCAATTCGAGCGTGTCTTCCAGAGGCCATGCCAGTGAGATGCGTAGCCGGGACGACGTTTTCTCAAAGCGGTCATGGCTGCTTCATCACTGAATCATCACACGTTTGATGAGCATTGATCGACGCTTTAATTATGACACGGAATCTGCACTGTTAGATTTGGCATGGTGATAATTTGTTTTACCGTCTACTCGTCGAAATTCCTGCACCCCATTTAACCCGTTTCCCCTTTCCGTTTCAGACGAGCTCTACTATGGAGGTTTCCAGGCGCGCATCCCGAACTTTGCCAAGTCAAAGCACCCGCGCGAGGACCCTCGCGACCCGCGTGCCTTCATGCCGGCACCTCACGGGATGCCGGTGCCCCATCCGGCCATGTGGCACACTCGGAGTTACGAGAGTGGCATGGGTAAGTGGAGAGAGTGCGAGAGGGAGAGAGGAAAGGGGAAGGAGAAAGACGGAGACACTTCAGGTGGGAATGGGGGCTCAACTTTAATGATGCTGATTTGTACAGAGTAAAGTTGGATGTATTTATGTCTAAAGCGCACCTTTTGGCACTTGCACGGAAAGATTGGTACTTGTGCACTTTGTTGTGTTGCACGGTAAACAGCTAACTTGCCGTTATGTTTTCCTAAACACACCGCTTGGCTGCGTAAATCACTTTATATGTTTTGTGTTAGCTCAACTGCCCATTTTATGTGTCCAATTCTAACAATTTATGTCTGTGGCTTCGTAATTGTGTGCATGATCCACGTCCCTGCTATAAAACAACTTCAAACATACATGTTAAATGTGCCTATCGTGATCCAATATTTAGTCCGACGTCCATAAATTACGAGACCAATTATAGATCAACTTTCACTCTGGCCCGTTCACCAAGCCGTATTTTATGACTGGTCAGCTGGACAGTGAGAGCACACTCTGGCAACTCTCCTCTTGCACTGCTGCGGCTGTGTCACCCACACAAACCTGCGTGTCAGATGACACGTTTTGGCCTACTAACTATCATTTCTTGGCCGTCACTCTGATGCTATCTGCAGTTATCATACGATCGGACTTTTTGCTTCCCGTTCTGTATCATATCCCAACACTGGCATGATTTTGACAACACACATGCACCACTGAGTCTCCTGTGTGCGAGCTTCACATCACATGACGTCATCATACACATCTGAGGACGTCACTGGTGTCTTGTATGTCTGTCTGTGTCTCCTGTGCGACTGATTCGTGTATGTCCGGTCTTCTTTCTGCAGGACGCATGCAGTATGTGTCCATGCCTAATATTCACCGGATGTCTCAATTACAAAACCCGATGAATTTCGTTCAGCCTATGGCGCTCCATCAGGGTGAGTTGTAGAGATCGTAGAAAAATACTGCCTGCCTCATAGAACTAGATTTAGAAACATAGAACAAACTAGTATAGAAGATAGCTCACACCGAATGCATTGCTAGTGAGATTGACATTTTGAATAGACTATAAGCGAAGTTTGTTAGAATAGACGTCCCATCTATCGATTGATAAGAATGCTCATCAAAATATGCATGAATTTTTGTCCTCAACTAGCGCTCTTCTCATGAAGCAGTCTTTTCAATTGGCAGTCTTTACTTCTACCTTCTATGCGTTTCGAGTTAAGCTATGCACAATTAGCTCTCCCACCGTTTATGTCGTTAAATGATCGGTAAAACATCGAGTAACGACAAATGTATCTCATCCTTTTAAAACGGGAATTTTTCTCCATCAAAAACCCGTCTTCATCTACCGCTAACCCCTTTATTTTCCACCTCTGCTGTGGCCAGTTTGCCCTCTCCACGGTCTCCCGCTCTGCCGTCTGCTCTCTCTGCGCCTGCTCTCTGCTCTGTCTGACTCTGTCTCTGTCTCATCCACCCTCTCCAGCTGTGGACCGGGAGTGGGAGATCTACTACCGTCACCAGCAGGGTCGGCCGCCCGTCAAATAGGTGTCCTTATCTCACACTCTGTGGCGCCCCAGGCCCGGTAAGAACCCACCCCCAGCCCGCTCTTAGTGGTGGTTGGGTCTGTGTCTTGGCATGTGCTTATACCTACCGGCAGAACAGGACCTGACCTGACCTGACCTGACCTGAACTGGACCTGAACCTGGACTGATCGAACCCAAACTGTTTTGAATTGTGCCATGACTGCACCTTATCTGACCCGACGAGGACGGAACATGGCAGACCCGGCAGACTTGTCCTGAAGTCCCTGCCGACATGGATATGAGAAGACATTGATGTCCCTGTACATATTGTAGTTGGAATCGTATTTCGTAGTTGCTTATGTTTTTGTTCGGTGGTAAGGGTTGAGGCTTGGACATAAAATGAAATGTGAAGTTGAAAATGTTCAAATCAATTTACACTTGTTGTCACAGAAGCTATACCAGCGACGAGACGTTGGGTCTTAGAGGTGGTCTTTTATTTCAAAAAGAAGTTTTTGAAGAAAGAAGAGCTGAGTGTCCTTTGAACCTTCTTGAGAATATTTCATAATTGAAAATATGTCATATTTTTCAAATGCAAAAGATAACATATTAATTACTTCCCTGAGGCCTGAACTTCAGTTTTTGTTTTACCCTTTATCGCTTTAAGATATAAAACAGTCTTCTACGAAGCCTCGTTTATCATTATTTTTGGATGTTTTGTTATAATATTGCCGATTTTAATTTGATATGTCACGATCACAATACAAAGGTGCATTCTGAAGCTGCGTCTGTTACCTTTTCATTCTAAAATCACATAACTTTTTAATCTTTGTTTCTAATGAACATAAAAGTACAGCAATTATGTTTACCGACTGTTAAAACGTCAGCACTGTGCGAATGCGTGCACTCATTTTAAATGCATCCTTGCACCCGCTCGCGTTTAAAATCCGTGACTTTTGCATGCGACCGTTGTCATTCGATTTTCAACGACCGACCTACGGACGGATACCATCTATGACCTGCAGTGACCTGCAGTGACCTGCAATGACCTACAGTGACCGCAGTGTATAACGCAAAACGACTTTATGACTTGTCTTGACGGACGACGCCACAAAAGGTACGTTTACGTTTTCCGTGTCTCGCACATACACTGCGCACTGCACAGACTGTCGCGCTAGGGAGATGTTATAAAGTGTGCTTTTGCTGTAAATAGCGCTGTATTGCAGCTTGGTGTGGCCCGCACGGCATGTTGGTTGGTCATCGGAAATGGGAACTGAGGGGTGGCTAAGAACTTTGCCCGCCTAGGCAGTCTGACAATGCTCTTCGTAAAATGATGATTATCGTTTGTTGTGATAATACTTTGTTAACTGTTGCTAGTCAACAACGGCTTATATTCATAGAGAGTAAATGTAACACTTTTAGCGTGCTGGTGAGCTTCAATTTCTAAATTCAGCAATCGGGAAGTAAATTGCGTTTTTAATTTAATGTTACAATCGTTGTCATGGGTCCACTTCCCTGACACAACTATATCACTGTTGCAGACATGGACGGAAAGGTAGACTCTCCCTACGCGAGGATGGCCGGCTGGAACCCCATGCACGGCCGACTGCCGCCCTCGTTCCAGCAACGGCGCGCCATGTACGTCTCCAACTGGCAGTGAGGGACAATTGCGGCGCACAGCGGTGGCTAGACGGCGCGCCAGAACTGTCTGCGATGCGTCTCGGTCCGCCGCGCAGCGCCGGATGTGATAGTCGGTGATGGTCGCTGCCCTGCGACCTGTGATCGTGAGCGAAGCTGCATAAGGGGGCACGGTGAATACGGACCACTGATTAGGACTCCGGGGCTTGGCCCACGGTCGGGTGGTGAAGGCAGCGCTGGCAGGCTGCCGCTAGATGGCAGGACCAGCAGCGGCAGCGTGAGTCCCAGCTCGCCACCGTGGGGCTGCAGCTTACGTTACCAGTGAACGACGCTTGTTCGCACTATGTGACGCGTTTGTTAGGCTAAGTCTTCTGGATTCGATTTATGCATCAGTGCTGAGGGGAGTTATTTCGCTCCCTTGCTGAGAGCGTGATCATGATGGGTGAGAGTATGTGAGTGCGAGTGAGTGTGGGTGAGCAAACTGCGTGAACTCTGTCTGGGTCTGTCATGATGTGAGCTTTTATTTAGGTCGTGTGGGTACGTGTGAAGTCCGACGGGGATGTATCTATTGACGTTGTTTGTAGTAGCGCCGGGGCGCAGAGAGGCAAAGTCGTGTGCAGCGGTCGCTGTGTCGACCCCGTGCGCTATGCGTCGGTTCCGTATTGATATTACCCGAGCTCTGTAAACGCTCTCCATTGGTCGTGCTTTGACCCTTGGTGCGTCCTCTAATCCCGTCCTAAGTATGCTGTGTCCCAAGTGAAACAGCACGAAAACACGTTTCTGAGAGACTTAACGACAAGATTCGTTAAATATTTGTACCAGGTGCCTTTGCCTGAAATTGAGCGTGATCATGACAATATCCGTCCTTTCACTCTTCATGTATTTACGTCTGATAAACGTACATCGCCTTATGGGATACATCACTAATGGTTCCAGAGCCTTGTCACAACCAACTTATTTGAAGAGGGAAGCTCATTCGAAGTTGGATGACAAGTTTAAACATAAATCCTGCCTTGTATGCTCTCAGATTTGGCTAGATAGTTGGCGGGGAATACTGCAAGTACTTGCTTGCCACTTGTTGCTCACCTGTGCCTTTTATCATCTCTGTGCTCGTATCAAAAATGTATTATCGGTGTTGCTATAGGAATGAGTGAATAAAGAAACCGTCGGCCCAGCGAGTTATTTCATAAAACATACCATATGAATAATAATGAATAATATAGATGTGATCGGTTGTACTAGATAGATATATCTAAAATGTCCTGTAACCGCACTGTCGGAATTTAATCATCATTGTCGAAATTTAATTCGAAGTAGGAGCTCAGAAACATTGCATTTACTTGCACTCACGAAGGCTACCTCTTCTTGCTCCTAAATCAGGCTCAGGTCAAAACCGCTGAGGTCATTGACTCGAGTTTTGATGGCCCAGTTGGACACATCTTGATATCCGATAGTCCCATTGCACTCTGAAGTGCCTTTCAAACGGACATATAGGTATGTCGAGCTGATATTTGTTCGCTGCGATACAGCAAACTAGTTCATGACCCGGTTTTGTTTCGAGGTCCTCGACCTTCAGTTATACAGATATATTTTATGACTCAAGTGCCTAAGTACCGACCAAGCCTACTTATATTCAATATCTCGACAGTCCACAATATATCCCAAGTTGAGCATCGTATTCACCTGGGCTAACGTTGAGCCTATCCTGCCTATCTATGCTCCATCATAGGGTAGGTAGGTACTGACTATTGATCAACTAAACAAATCATCAATCTTGGAACCGCTGTGCAATGTGTATTTTCACCAGTGGCCGCTCTAACTCAGCTATAACTGAGCAGATCGGTACACTTAATCGATCAATGCATCGATTGCTTACTGATCACTGAGAACCTAGCAATTCGAGCCACTTGAACGCTGCACTGGCCAATTTATTTCAAACAGACCATGCCCTTAGTTAATGGCAGCGTACCATTGAGAGGGATCGATCGTGGTGACCCTCGCTCAAAATTTGGATTCGCATTTCACTGTCGTTGATCCCTCCATTGCTATGGATCCTTCTTATAAATCATGCAGCTTAATTGAATAATTTCCCGCTCGTGCAGCAACGGTCCGGGCCAGCGCAGCATTTAGTCTGCTCAATTGTTGGACACAAAAGATCACTCTGTGGTAGGCGAGGTTAACCGACCTCACCTATAGGAATACCGAATACTGATACCTACTCTTGTTACAAATGCAACCACACTTTACTTATCTACTCAGTGGATAGATCTCCTTTCGAAGTTCCAGCATAATGATACAACAGATCGCTGCTACAAAGCGTAGAGCTCGGATTGTAAATAGGCGGTCACTCGTTATCACCGTTCTAATCCTAGGCCATTCTTCTCTACGTGCAATCATGCGTACCTACTCTGCAATGTGCATGCAAACTTTCCCCTTCGTCAACGTGGTAGGTCAAAGGTCTGGAGGGCTGGTAAGTTATGCAGTGATTTAAACAAAATATGCATGTGAAAATGAAAATCATCGATGTCATGATTACGAAGAGTCATGACATTCACGATAACAAGTTTCTTAACCCTATTAGTGGCAGGCTCCTGGCTACCCCTATTAGTGGCAGGGGGGGGGGGCTGTTTACGACCCCCCCTTGATATCTCGAGATCTAACGGGCCGACTTTCAAAATTCAAACGGCATTCGATTTCGCTCAACGTGATCTACATTTCAAAAAAAAAAAATTAAAAAATGTCAATAGGGGGGCAGAGGGGGGTAAAAACGGGCAAATTGCAGATACATTTTAGACTGTTTATCACGGCCAGGTTTCTGAACCAATCTTAACGCAACTTTTGCCGATCGATAGAGAATGAACCAGGAATTCACATGGGTCCTAAGAATATGCATTTTCAAAAATCATAGGCGGATACAGATCATTGAGATTGGGGGTACACAAAAAGTATAGTAAATAAGGTTTTTGTTGGTATTGTTTCTAAAAAGGGTGGTAATGGTCTTGTTATGTTACAATTTTCTTATGAGAGAACGACTACAATTGTATTGGTCATGCATAGGCGGTGTCAGGGCACCATGTTTGGAGGTAAAACATAACCCCCCTTTTTGGACGCCTGGATCCGCCTATTATAGCAAAAACGTGTCAAAAGAGGATGCACAATAACTGTATATGTTATCACATGATAGGTACCTTTCATTCACTGTTCGTAAAACTGGTGCAGCATCGTGATCTTCGCCCAAATGACTCGCTTCACGAATAGGACCCCCCAATTCCCAGTGCTCTGGAGCCGCCCCTGGTAAAGTTATGAACTTGAAATTATCAGGGAATGTGCCCAATTTAGTTTTAGGAAAAGTCAGAAAATTTCAGCATCGTAGCTTCAGCGGTTTCGGAGATATTCCCGAAAAACCTGAGGGGTGGATAAAAACAACCCCCCCTGCCACTAATAGGGTTAAGCTTGTCAGTATCATCATGATAATTGATAAATGGGACAAAGTTATAGAAATACTTTCACGATGAAATGATGCTAAGTAATGAGGATGTGCGTCCTAATGCAAAACAAACAGTACGTACCGGGCTTCTACCATTTCGAGCTCCCTCTGTGTCCACTGTCCAGACTCCATTGCACACCAATGAGTGCAGTTTGCTACTAATGCACCCTCTCTCTGCACAGATGACCCGTACTTCCGCGGACTCCGTGTGCGCGTGCCCAGCTTCCGCGGCGGCGAGCTACCGTCGGAGCCGGAGCCCACTTACGGAGTCACCCGCCGCCCAGACTCGCGCCGACTCTCATGGAGTCGACCTGACTCCGACTCAGAGCCCACCGAGCCCCGACCGCGCCGCACCCGGCACCGCTCGCGGCGCCGCTCTCAGTCGCGCGAGCCAGCGAGGGTGTTCTCCCCGCAGCCACCTCGGGAGGGTGCGCGGGGCCGGCCGTCGGGCCGACCGCCGGTACAGCCTACCAGCCGACCGCCGAGCCGCCCTCCGCTGGCACGGTTTGCTTCTCCGCAGCGACACGGGACGCAGAGCCCGATGGAGCTACCGCCGGCGAGCCCCAGCCGCGGCCGGCCTCTGAGCGCTCGCCGCGGAAGGGACCACAGCGCACCACCGCCGCTGGAGTACACGCTAAGCCGAGAGAGAGCTGACCGCACACCAGCGTCACCTATGGAAGAGAGTGTAGGTGGCGCTCGCGTCGCCGGCCGACCCGGCAGCCCTGCCAAGGCAGAACGGTTTGTAGAGGCCATGCGGGAGAAGTTTGAGGGTGCGCGACTCGCCCGAAAGAAGAACAAAGAGGCGAGCGGAGACGCCAAACCGACAGCAAAAGGAAGAAATTGAAACAGACGGCTCGGAACTGGGCAACAAGAACAAACGTGCCACTCGGTAGGACACTATGACAAGTTCCATGAACTACACAGTACACACGTGCGCGCTTGGTCAGCAACGATGACGAAAGACGATCAAACGCTGACCAGCTGCTCAATTCTTTTGCAAACACTGCAATTACATTTCGTTTTACAATGCATTGTTTACGATTGCATTGTTAACATTAGAAGCTTCTGAGTAGTAACTAAGTAGTCCATGGACTGCGAAGGCAAGTGACGGATAATGCAGGTTCGTTTGTATGCAACATTCACGACTGACTTTCATTCTCGTCTGTGAGCTATTGCGATTTCTCCCCGGTCGTTACGTATGATACAGATCCAGCTACAAGGCTTCTGAAGGCGAGACGAAAAGGCCCCACGAATCCATAAATGCGAGTTCCTACCTCTATGATTAGAACACAACCGAGCCTTCAAGTCATCCACAGAAGAGAGAGCAAGAAAAGTGACCCGAAAATTGAGTACGGACCTCAGAAATGTCGAATAGAGCCTCTAGCCATCAACCCAGCCATGGCCAAGCACCGTATGTAATCGGTTTGATGTAATCGACGTGTCAGCGTTGACATGTCCGCACGAATAGACGTCACCAGGACAGCTCGACATAATGTTTGTCGAGCCTACGACTTTGTCATACCAATTTCCAGTGATTCGGGGCGCATAAGGGATGCAGGTCAGTAGGAGTTATGGATGACCTTCATGGGGACGGCCAAGGGCTTTCGGGGGTGAAAGCCAGTGAGAAGTGTGGATGTTATGTTCGAGATGACGTCAGTCGTATAACGTTGAGACTTGAGGCATATGCTGAAACGATGCTGACATGTTGCATATGCCCTTGTCGCAGTGTGCGATGAGCCACTATGTATACTGTCTGTGATACGCCCTTTGTTGCGTACGTCGGGCGTTACTGGCTGGTACTCTATGCCGATAGGCACTGAGCCCGTGGCTACACTGTAACTATTTTGTGGAGTGTACTGGGGTTACGAGCCTAGTTTCAACGGGTAGGGGTGCTAAGTCGTGCTCGTGTTTTCATCGCATGCCGTTTTCGTGCCCAACATCTGCTCAATGTCTGTCTATCCCTTACATGGTAAAAGCAGTAGGCTGCATGTGTCGAATCTACACAGGAAAATATCCTAGCGTAGTTACCATTCGTGCCTGCGTAAGTCGACAATCCGTTGAAACGTGCCCGAGGATGTTTCTCCTTTCGGTCCCCTCCCGAGGATGTTTCTTTGTTTATAGTTCGCAACCTTCTTTCGGCTGTCTTTCAAACACACCAGCCATGCGCTTGAAAGGCCGCGACCCATGCAGCATGCAGTGTTCCTTGACTCAGCTGCGTCGATAATGAATGAATCTCGCGTCGTATGATAAGCATTTTTTGTCGCTTTGCGCATCGTTCAGCAGTATTCGGAAGGAGTGTTAACACGTATAAGTGGGTAATCAAGGTATGCATCGGTTTCTTTGTTCGATGCGTGACTGGATGAATTCGCTGATGTTGGTATGTGTGTCATAGCTAGAAATACAAACAGGAGAAGAGCTGGTGTGTGTCAAGTGAAATGCGTATGAAACATACAGAAACCAGACAGGTGAACTTACCACGCGGCTGCCCTGGTCAGTGGTCAGTGGCCAGTGGTCATAACATCTGGGATTCCTAGACATCAGAAGACAATGCGGACATTGACAAAGATCTGTCCAACAGCTTGGTTCTGCGAACCAAATCGCGCCAAGAGCTCATAAAAAAGGGATGATAGTGAAAGGTCGAATATAGGCGTCTTGCGAGAGTTCCAAAGACGATCCGCTCCAAGGACATCCAGACTCCAATACAATAGACTTATTCAAGGTAAGTTAGAGAGCAAACGAGTTTGTACAAAAATTGGATGAGATTTATTATTATGAAGTCATTTCATGTACAGAACATCAGTTCGCACATGGGACATATGTACAATAGACTCTTCAGTACGTACATAAGACAAAGCCTGCCACGTGATATGCTAAAGGAAACAATGACCTAAAACAGTAGTAGCAAAATAAAAAGGCATCGAAAACATGATTGTCGCGTTACTACTCCTGATTTTCCAAGGGAAAAGAAACGTACAAAGTGTAAAACAAAATTCTATGAAAATCATTAGCATGGAAGACAATTATGCCGCTAGAACATAGTTCATTCAAACTATCTGACGACAGTTGCAAAGTGGCAGGCCATCCGTGCACAACGCTTCGTTCACACGGAGACGGTTAAAAACGCGACCATACAAAAACCACCTCTGCGCACACACGCACAAAGTCCTCCACACCAGATTGGGGCGGGTCTCAGCGACCCCACCCATACCGTCCGACACTGGTATCAGCGCCGGCAGTACCGGCGGGTCCTCCGCCGGGCCAGAATAGCTGCCTAGCTGCCGTCAGCGCTCACGGCGCCTTGTGCGTGACCACCACTGCCACCTAGCGGCCGCCAGTCGCACTCGAAGTTCATCACATCACAGAAAGGGCGCGGGGAGTATTGGGGCTGGGGCGGCGGGCCGCGGCGGCACAGAGGGTTCGGTTATTGCTCACTGGGAGTCCAAGACCGGCCGGCCGGCGGCGCGCCGGCAGACAGACGGTACGTTTTGATTCGATCCTCTCACTAGCGTGCCGGCGCTGAGGCTGTCAGCCGCTCATATCAACGGCGAGCGCTGGTAGATCTCGTTTGGGTGTGTGTTCGGACTGGCGCTCTGGTTCTGACTGCGACATTGCTGAAAAACGAACACATAAATACAGTCAGGCAACTGCACAAACGATTCCAATCAGGGCACCATCTGCATTATAAAACCATCACTGTGTATAATATAAGCTTCCTAGCCTATTCACCGAGGTTAGCGTAGGCACATTTATGGCTCTCCTAATTATTCCCAGAAACCCGATTTCAGACGGACTTGCTCAGCGAAACTAAATTGGGTCCTCGTTGGCTTAGTCGGGAAGTGATCAGTGCCCCCCCCCCCCCCCCTCCAAACGGTGTCCCAACAACATTCCGTTCACTAGAACTGCGAGCGTATTTAAATCTCCCCCTCCCTTATGCCTTCACTGTACGTACCGCCTGTTTCTTCTCCCAGTTCTTCATGGCGTTTTTGTACTTTTCGAACTCGCTGCACCAGTCAGAGTAGATCTTCTGATAGTCCTGCAGAACAGAGGTTATGGATGATCGTCAGTGAGCTGTACGGACAGTGGGGACTGAGGAGACAACAGAGAACAGCGAGAAGACAGAAAACCGACCGTCCACGGCTGCTGAGATACAGTAGGAGCGAGTACACAATCAGTTCGGACATTACTGAGAACTTTCAGTACACACATACACGAGGTACATGCACACCTCACACATCAGGGATTGGTTGACAAAATAGCGCATACGTGAACAAATTATTCAAATCTGCACGTTGAAAACTAGGTAACAACAATGCAAGCGCACCGGCCCGTCAACAAACAGTCAGCAAACATATCCCCGACTACTCCACCCCCTCTTTTCTGTCGCCACCTCGACTCCTACACACTCCCACACTCCAACAGTAACTTGTCTCCCTGTGACTAGTCTGTACTCGACAAGTCTGACTCCCACACTCTCCCCCTGCGCCCTACCTTGGACTTGTCGGGTGCGGCGCACCGGTGTACGTCCACGGTAACGCTGTACATGCAGAGCAGATCGGTGCCCAGCTGGGCCTCGTAGTTGCCCGCGTCCTGTTCGGCGATGGACAGCACCACCAGGCCGTTCTCCTGGGTACGCACGTACTTCTCCGGGCTCCACTCGATCCTGGGGTGTAGGGGTAGAGGTCACCGGAGTGTAAGAGGTCAACGGGGGGGGGGGGGGGAGGTCATCGGGGTGCTCGAGTGGGAATTAGAGATGGGATATGCGAGAAGAAGTAAGAACGAAAAAGGGAATGCTACATCGGCTTTCGTAATGGTCTTTCATGAAACGCAGCTGAAGCACAAGAGCACTTAACCCTTTATCATGTAGCGCCACATTAAATAGCCAGCATTGATGGCGACCATACGCGTTTACATCGTGCTTATGAATGAAACTGAAGCGAACATGACGGATATACGATGTTCCATGGAGAGACTTTGGCCATTGGGGAGTCAAACACCAAGTAGGGAACCACCGAAGAAACTTCGGCCTAATAGCCGCCCACTAGGAAGTTGCTCGCTTTGAGACGTAATCACGACATTGGTTAGGCGGTTATTAATATTTCGAAACGGTATCGGTCGGGAACTTTGTCAAGAATGCCCATTAGACGGCGCAATGTGGCACATGGCCAAACAGTCTACAACTTTGTCATGTAATTATAAATACATGCAATAATTTGGTAGCTTCATTCAATCGGTTGACACTTTCCTTTGCACAGAGATCAACATGAGAGCCTGCTCCATGTTTTTGTGTTTGTTTATTGGGACTTTAGGGCGCGACCACTACAAGGGCCATTTTGCGCCCATGGCTCGATGCGTTATTCTCAGAAATTTACGTATCAAACTAAGACAAGACACAGTCCTGCATTAGCTCGACCCCACATAGTTTTGTACCCGGCCTTACAAAATCCCGGTAATCCTTCATGGGAGATTAACTCGAGTGAGACGGAGCTGCAGCCTTTATGGAGTGGAAGCGTTCCGTGAGGAGCGAGCATCCAGCACAGTCTTACCCCGGACAAACTGCAGAGAACGGGACAGGAGCATATTGACACTAGCCTTCACCGTCCACAGATACCAATTAGGAGTCACCCCAAACACCATGAATTGCAAAACAGCGTGCATGATGCTGTTGTGCCTATGACAGTCGGAAGGGGGTGCCATGTCCGGCGATCAGGAGTTTGTCGAACCCTCTCTTTGGTCCAGAGGTACCAGCTCTGATATTGCTAGGCCCGGGGTAGGGGTACCAGCTGGTATTGCTAGGCCCGGGGTAGGGGTACCAGCTGGTATTCCTAGGCCCAGGATAGCGGCACCAGGGCTCTGTTTCAGCGTCCCGACGCTGCGTGCGCTGCAGCGCGCTGGGAGCTAGGGCATATCAGCGACGCGTTGGGTTTCCATTGAAACATCAACAAACTCGGACGCTCGCAACGCTGAAGGGTCGAGCCGAATTCGTCTCAAACGCCCACAAACGCCGCACCAATACAGCAGCGCGCTGCAACGCACTGCAGCGCGCGGCCGTGGAACACCGTATAAGTGATACCTATTAGCAGCCCCGGGGTGGGGGAACCATGCGATATTCTGAGCCCCGGGCAGGCGTGCCCCCCATCCACTCACATGTGGCGCCCCTTCTCCTTGGTCCAGAGGTACCAGGTGACCTCGCGTTGGTCCATGGCGCGCGGCAGTTTGACGTCACAGCCCAGGTGGAGCGACTGACCCCAGGTGGCCGACAGTTTCTTCCTCAGCACGGAGCTGTCACAGAGGCCTGGCTCCGAGCCGGTCACATCCTGCAGAAGACTAGAGAGGGGGAAGGGAAAGAAGTAAGCAGTCAGCAGGGGAGGGAATACTACACAATACACATTCTGCAGCCGACTGTAGCGAGGGAAGGGTCAGCAGGGGAGCCGAAATACAATGCAGACCCGGGCACGAAAAACACCCCATTTTCTTACAAACACCGATCCCCTCTAAGCAGCTCCTAGCAGCTGCAGCACCCTCCCACCCAGGTCTGTCACGGCCTGTGAAGACTGAGCACCATCCCGGCCCAGTCCGTGAGGGTTGGGCACCACGCTATCCATTCTCAAGAAGTAAGCAGCAATAACCAGTCACTACTTCTCCCATTCCCATTCCCTCGCACAACTCACCCGGGCGTGTAGGGTCGGCAGACGTGCGCCGTCTTGTCCCAGCCGCAGTATGGATCGTGTACACAGCGCAGACAATTGTCGAAGCGGCCGTTACACATTTCCAGCTGAACTTGACGCAGCTGTGCGTCCGACGACACGTACAAAGACTTGTGCTGCCGTAGCGGGGGGGGGGGGGGGGGTCAGCTGATAGGTGGCAGGGTGAACAAGGGTGCGACACGAAAGGGTGTAGTGGCATAAGAGTCCGGGAAAGGCCTGGAGTTGTAGAGACAAACCGCGCGCTACGTGGCGATGCGATGAAGCTTGAAGGGCGGCTATATGCGAAAGTAAATGAATGGGAGGACCAATATTGTCATCGAAAAGGAGAATGGTGATTTATTTTCGACCGTCAAAAAAATAATGTGTACCGACATAAAAAGCACAAAAAAGTGTAACATGACTCGAGGAATAATAATATATACCAGTAATAGATAGCGTGCGTCCTCTTGGCGGTTTCTATGGAGATTTACAACATGTCACTGAATATAAACTACCACTCTGAGGACACGTTACACACAGATAAGAACCGTAACATCGCTACCTGTCCATATATGCGCAGTGATTCCCCATCATACCCTGCATACACCCATCACTGATATCAAACACATCAGCCAAACACGCCCTCCTCATCCACATACTTGACACAGCGATTGGGTACTAGTTTTGGAGAGATAATGCAAATATCCGGCCGACACTTGAAGTCGGCGTCGCGCAGTCAACTCTGGTGCCTAGGGCTCGAGTGTGGACGGCAATGCAAGCTTCAAATACTTGAGACTCTGATATCTTCTTTACTTTTTAGCACATCTAACAACGAAGCTGATAACTAACTAAAATAACATCATCATAGCAATGCAATTTACATCACGCAGAGATCACATTCCCATCACGCATCTCTTTTCAGACCAGCAAAACGCTATCAAATTTCCGCCTACGTAAGAACTCCGTCCTATCCTCGACCCGTGACCTACCCATGACACCGTGACCTCTGCCCTGACCTAACCCTATCCATGACCTCTGACCTGACCCAGCCCGTCGGCCACTCACCCGTCGAGAGAGCGCCATCTGCCGGATGGCCTCGGGAGCCGTGACCTGGAAGATGTCGAGCAGGGACGAGTGGGAGGTACCGCGAGAGTCGTACCACTCGACGATCTTGTACACGTGACCGTCGTCTGTAAACGGGGAGAGGGGGGTCAGGTGATGTGACGGGAGCACTACGTCAGGTGATGAAGTTAGAGCTGTAACGTAAGCTAACAAAGCGCTGTGTTTTATACACCCGAAGTCCAAATAGGCAGCTCAAAGACGTCTTTGTCGGGTGCCGAATGTGCGGCCCTTAGAAATCTGGTCGATTCCAAACAGCTTTGAAAGCGAATGCAAGCAAAAATCCAGTACCATACACCAACGGAAGCAACCCAGGCTCGAATAGACACACAGCACATCCTTCATTCTTAGCATTTTCAAAGAGAGTCACCAAATGCATCAAAGCCTTTTGGACCTGGCTATCATCTAGATAAAAAGAATCTAAGTTGGACTTCAGCTGAAGGGCTGTCATTACTTTAAAAAGGCTGGTGACGTATCGCACAGCCATAAATGATCTGACCTTTGTCACAGGCGATATTAACGACCGGTCTATTTCCGAACGCGTTACAGCGCCGAGTACCGAGCACGCCACTGTATCACGACAATAAAACGGCCGTATCCAGATCCGTATCTTTTACTGTAGGACACCCCGAGATGCGGGCAAGTTTACTAATTAAACTTGGTATGCATCGCGGAAGCATCCCAACTATGGTAAACTTCCACGTCGAGCTGTGGTGAAATACAAAACTCCCCTCACAATACGCAGGTGAAAAGATGCATGGTAAACAGTGGAGCAGTATCGCGAAAGTGTTGGTAGAAAGAAAACAAACAACACAAATAACATTTCGAACACGACGCCATTTATGCTGGAGCCAAAGCCAATATCCATTCAAGTTATTCGTCCAGGCATAAAATACCGGCACTAAGAAAAGAAAACAGTCCGGGAATGCACCTTTATGGCAATCAGATAACGAAACGGCAAATATTGTCACCGTTGCTAGCCAAGGGGGAGAAAAACTCCCAGCTTAAAAATGCTTCCAGCTTAGCAAACCAATGCCCAAAGAGAGAATGTAAGACAGGATTCACCACGCTGACGTACGCACCCTGAATGGGCGCGTCATTTCGGCCTGAGCAGCCCGTATTGACAGTGCCAACAGGGCTCGGAATCCCCGCTCTGATATCACATGCGTTGACATTTCAGAGACAAATATCATTACGGTAATGGAGCTGGGCCCACCGGAAAACCCTGTCAGTAATATGAATGGGCTATGAAAGACACAGGGATATTATGGCCTCAGCAATTTCAGACCCCGCCCTGTTGAAGTATTATCATAAGGCAGCTTTGGTGAGATAAGGATCTTCCACTTCATAGGCCCAGGCCGAATCCCAGCCATCGCGAGCCGTCAGTAACTAAATTTCCATTTGCTTATTTTAAATCGTAGCTGGCCTGTTAGAGTGCAATTTTAACGCGTTTTTCCCATATCCAGTGCTTTGCTGTTCTGTTGACGAGAGTTCGCAAGAGCCTAAACCTCACTGTAGATAACTGTAACATCCATTATGATCTACAATTATGTACATATGCTATTTGGTCCACAGCACTGAAGACGTCCCGTGTACCCCGCTACTCACTGGAGCCGGCGTAGTAGACGGTGTACTCGCGCTGGCTGCCGAAGGTGCCGGAGGTCACCTTGTCCACCACCACGTGTGTGAAGATGAGGTCGCGCTTGTAGAAGACGGGCTTGTCGTTGTTGTGCGCCACGGCGCCGTCCAACAGAGGGTGCGACTGGATGAACGTCAGTACGGTGTCTGTGGAGCGTGACAGAGTGGTGTCACGTCAGACGACACGCCAGACAGCACGTCAGAATGAGCAGCGTCACAGAGTGATGGCGGGGTGACATCCGGGACTAGGAAGCACAAGTATTGTATCTGGTGAGCATTGTAGAAATCGACACAAGTGATCAAAACAATAAATCAACATCAGATCACAATTAACCCATACTTCAAAGATAGCATCACATGCAAGGCTCGCAATATCATTCATCTCCTACAGGCTGGCTTTCATCGTCTTCAACTGATCAAACAAAGTCTGCTGTCAACATCTACATCATCACATCATCCGAGCCGCCTCATGCGTGGTTGCCACAAATAAACCACTCTGCGAGACGTTTCCGCCGGCACCCGATCATCCGACCCAAACGTCGATCGGCCGATAGAAGCCAAGCCGGCAGTCAGCTCCCCAGGGATATCACAATTTCTGGCCTACTCAAACAACGTAACAGAAAAACATTGGAACTTAAGTGGAATATTTTTCAGCGGCACAAAAACAACTGTGGTTCGCAGCCGGCCAAGCATACGCCGCGGCGGGGCGGGACCAAACAGAGCGCTCGCCAGACCGCACACGAATGTTGGCGGTTCGGCCGACCCCGCCACCACCGCAGTCGCCTCTCAGGGAGAGTGAGTTCGAGCGGCCAATATTTCCGACCAATATTAGACCGGCGCAAAGGGGAGAGACCAGCAGGCTTCGGAGGGGGGGGGGGGGAGGGAACAGCCGCGGTAGAAGAGGGAGCTGTCGGGGATTAATAACGACTAAATTGGTCAGACAGCGTGATCGAGCACAATTTTTCAACCAGATGGTGCTTTATTTTTCCGCGGCCTATGTTTCAAAAAGGTGATACCCGCATTTTTAGATTTATGAGAAATCAAATCAAAACACTTGGCGTTACATGCATAACAAATAACAGGGCAAACCGATTCTCTTGCTGTGATTCAGGGGGGGGGGGGGGGGCAGGGGGCGTTGACAGCGGGGGCCATCCTGAGCCCTCAGTTCACTACTCGATAGGCTACGAGCGAGTTCTGATCCTATAACCCTAATCCACAGCCTCTGACGCGACCCGACCCTGACACGGAGTTCGCACATACCGGGCAGCGTCTGCGTGTCATTGACGCACTGTCCCGGCCTGGGCTCGGGCACGGCTGACTTGCTGACTGGCAGCCACGCCGAGCTGGACGTCTTCTGCTCCTTGAACTTGCCGTCAAACGCTTCCTGCGAACAGCACCAGCGGCAGGGTCAGAGCCGAAGGATCTGGAGGGTCAGCGTGGAACCACGCGTGGCGCCACAGGTCAAAGGTGACGAGCAGAGGTCAAAGGTCGCCGTCCCGGCGCGATATCAAAGTTTCAGGTGGCCGGTGGGCCGGGACGCGTGTAACATTGATGTCGGACGCGGTGGTGGGTAGTAGAGGCCAGTTCAGACGGTACGTGAGGGAGCACTAACGGGGTTCGGGGAATCAGACGGGGAGGGGAGGGCAGCGAAGGGACAGGGGTGATACAGGTGGTTCACAAACGTAGGTACTGTGTTTGAATGGAAGAGAAGAAAAGGCGTGTGAATAAAAATATATCACTACATCCATTTCAGCCGATTTGGGAGACAACAAAATATACTTCATCTTTCATCTCATAAAATAATACCCAAAGAAGCAGTAAGGCAACCACACAGGTAGCATCAACATCCGTCCATACAACGAGCATTCTCAGAAAGTGAGTCTCAGTACAAGAATTACATCAAAGGCATATACATCAGGCGCTCCTCTGATCCTCCTGTCCTCTAGGAACTTTGTTTCGTCCATTCCGGATAATTAATAAGCTACATCAGGGCGGAATACCCACCACATTCATTACTATCTGGCTCACCTGAATATCTCTGAGAGTGAAGGAGCAGACTGCCGAGCCCATCAGACCGTTCATGGATGTGGTGAACACGGCGTAAAACTGGGTGTCGTCACCAGGGACCTTGTAGATGGATTCTGAAAAAGACATGAGAGAAGGCAGAGTCAGAACAATCGTGAGATCATACAGTGGGCTGGGTAGTACAGGGGGGATGATGGTAAAAGAGTGTTTGTTGAAAGAGAGGAAAGATAGAGGAGAAAAGAGAGAGGAGAGAGAGGGAGAGAGGAGAGAGGTCACCTGAAAAAAACCCTGCGCATTGCCAAGTACACGCACTTTACCTAACATATATCCCAAAGCACACCAGCACATCTGCTAAATAGCGCCTGACAACCCCGATTCGTCGAACTGACCTGGAAGACGACGAACATGACAGACAAGTCATCATTGGCTTCTGACTCACACGCATACACCACTCCCCCCCCCCCTCCACGGGTCACTGGAAACAGTGAGTCACCTACGCGACACCCCTCCCCCCTCCGGTACGGGCGGAACCCCCCTCCCCTCCCCTTGTGTACGACACAGCTCCATGGCATGATTGGACCGCCAAATAGGCCCCGACAGGACCCACATGGAAGTGGCCATTACACGTTAATGACTCGGCGCAGCACAGCTAACGACCTGCATGACAGGCCAATGGTCAGAGAAACAATTACAGACAATAACGAAACGACGAAAGGCGTATAATGCGTTGCGTGACGGGGCTGTTAGAAACATTGTAATTTCGTTCATATGTATGCATGGTAGTTTAATGGGCAGACATTTGTTTCTGTTATTTTTAGCGGAAAGGTTCACGTGCATACCGCTAGCATTGGGACGGTGATGGGCGTAATTGCTTATGCTCCCGAAGCACAAACTAAACTACTTAGCTACCTACTCCAACCAGTAAAACCAAGGCCCTCTAAAGTAAAACGCCTTTTGGGCGAAGAACGAGCGAGCGAGATAGTGAGCCCTGCACGTGCAGAAGGGCGAGAGGGTACTTCCAACGGGCTTGTGCAAAGCACCCTTCTAACCGGTCGCTAGCGGTGTACCAAATTTGAACGCAATCGGCCCAGCTGTTCCTGAGATCTGGAAGCGGCATTCTGCACGTGCGCACGTGCAAACGGGGTCCAAAATGACTTTTGCACGGCACCCTACTAACCGGTCCTCAACCGTGTACCAAATTTGAGCGCAATCGGCCCAGCCGTTCTCGAGATCTGGAAACGCCCCCTGCACGTGCGCACGTGCAGTAGCACCCTAACCGCAACACATGAGAATGCATTGGCTGGTGGGTGCCTACCTGTATGCCAAGTTTCAGCGAAATCGCCCCAGTAATTACCGAGTTACTGAAATGGGAACAAATTTGGCACCTCTTATTGTTGTATTTTGCACGTGCAGTGGAGGTCACTCACATAGATGAAGAGTATCCGACCTTTGGTAGAAGGGATGCAGCTACCCTATAAAAATGACCGCAAGACAATCGCTCAAGCCGTTGCTGAGATATGGGCCTCTCAAAATCATTACTTTTGCAAAACTGCTTGAACACCCTTGACTTTTCACGTGGCACGTGCCACGGCGGTCACTGAGATGTATCAAAAGTAGTCAATTACGGGGTAGAAGGGATGGGGCTACCCAGCAAAAAAGACCGCAGGCCATTCGGTCCAGCGGTTGCTGAGATATAAGCCTCTCAAAAGCGTTACAGGCCGGGCCGGGCCGGGCCGGGCCGGGCCGCTCATACTGAGATTTTTCCGTTATATTGAAAAGACTTCGCTTCGCTCGCTGCGCTCGCTCGCTCGTAATCACCCGCCTTCACAAATTATTAATCTAGTGGTCGACAAGCATTTCCTTCGTAGGTTTATGGCCTTGAGCACTTCGAACACAGGGTCCGTATCATATCAGGACGTGAAGTAATTCTGCAACGTTCGATCATAACAGCTCACTAAGAAAAGAACGTCAAGTCTATCATTATGATTATATATGTTGTTGTTGAGCTGGGACGGATTCATTTGGCAAAATATTGTTCAAACACCAGCTTTAAGTTTTTATTGGTAGCTTTCGGAAGCGTTACAGCTTCCTTCGTCAGCCTTGGATAGAATTCTTAAAAAGACAGATAAACACGTAAATACAAAACAATTCAAAATTCAAAAACGCCACTTAAAGTTAAAGTGGCGCAGATATTCGAGAAAAGCTCGTTTCGTAATTCGTAGCGTTCCACTTCGTTGACGAATTCGCGTACATGAGTAAGCACAATAAACAAAAATACACCGCACGAACATTGAACTATCATTTAGTCGCCTAGCCGAGCACACGATACACATCTGCCACCATGACACCAGGTTTCACATTCAGCACATTACCTCTCGCCTTGTCGATAAAAATACCCTCTTTGATTTTTCGTTTCCTCCAGTCAGACTCGTAAGCTAAGACTTTCACATCTCCCCAAGCGACACAGTGGCCCGTTTCTATAACATGTTTGGCTAGTCCTGAATGATTCTCGTCCAAGTTGCGTATCGCCCTCTTGTGCTCTGTTTCTCGTTAGGCGGCACGGGCGGACATCGATAGCAGCGCCTCTATCGGTCAATAGGGAAAGCTGGGCTGTAGGCGACGAAATACCGCTGAGTTGTCACACGTTGAATAGGTTTATAGACATCCGTCTTGTGAAAAAGTTGAACTTTTGCCTTCAATATTTCTACAGGCAATTTTAGAAGTGTCTTCACATAGATTACAACACCGTTTAGATTATTGTATTCACTTCAAGCCTTCCCTATTGTTCTTGATGATGCGGGAACTATTTCTAATTAGTATTTCTAGCTTAATGAAAGAAGATATTGTGCAAACGATGAAAAAAGCATAGATGGAAGATTTAAATGCAATTTTCTCTAGCAATTAATGGTAAATTCTCTACAGATCAAGGAAAAGATGCATGCTAACTGATAATTTAAAGTTCTTGGGGCCAGTTGTTTTCTTCTTTTCTTACGTCGCCCCAATGGCCGCGAATGCACTTGTGATAACGCCTATCGTCTCGCTTTAATACTACGACACGTTTCTCCTATGTAAATTTTTTCACACGCACACTCATATTGGTAGACCAAGCCCGTCCTGTGACACATGTCCCTCTTGTCCTTGGGGTGCACCAGAAAGCTTTTCAAATTCCTCTCTGGCCTGGTAGCAACCCGGGCAAACGGTTTGACCGCGCGTGTAACTCTCTCCGTGACCCCCTTCACGTAAGGTAGAACAACTAAAGGCTTGTCCGTCTGCTCCTCTCTAACCCCAGTCCTCTTTGGTCTGGCTAGTTTCCTGCGAGTGGCCTGAATGAAATGTTTTGGATAGTTGTTAGCCTTAAGTGCCTTATCTATGTGACCCGACTCAGCCTCCCTACTCTCCTGACATGATACGAAAGTTTCGCCCCTCTGTACCAATGACCGAATCACCGACTCCTTGTGCTGTTTACTGTGATGTGAGTTAAAATTTAGGTAGCTATCTGTGTGTGTTGTTTTCCTGTATACTCCTGTCATCACCGTCCCGTCCTCCCCCCTCCTCACCTCTACGTCCAAAAATGGAAGAATGCCGTGAGGAGGGGGGAGGAAAAATGGAAGAATGTAGAGGTGAGGAGGGGGGAGGACGGGACGGTGATGACAGGAGTATACAGGAAAACAACACACACAGATAGCTACCTAAATTTTAACTCACATCACAGTAAACAGCACAAGGAGTCGGTGATTCGGTCATTGGTACAGAGGGGCGAAACTTTCGTATCATGTCAGGAGAGTAGGGAGGCTGAGTCGGGTCACATAGATAAGGCACTTAAGGCTAACAACTATCCAAAACATTTCATTCAGGCCACTCGCAGGAAACTAGCCAGACCAAAGAGGACTGGGGTTAGAGAGGAGCAGACGGACAAGCCTTTAGTTGTTCTACCTTACGTGAAGGGGGTCACGGAGAGAGTTACACGCGCGGTCAAACCGTTTGCCCGGGTTGCTACCAGGCCAGAGAGGAATTTGAAAAGCTTTCTGGTGCACCCCAAGGACAAGAGGGACATGTGTCACAGGACGGGCTTGGTCTACCAATATGAGTGTGCGTGTGAAAAAATTTACATAGGAGAAACGTGTCGTAGTATTAAAGCGAGAGAAACAGAGCACAAGAGGGCGATACGCAACTTGGACGAGAATCATTCAGGACTAGCCAAACATGTTATAGAAACGGGCCACTGTGTCGCTTGGGGAGATGTGAAAGTCTTAGCTTACGAGTCTGACTGGAGGAAACGAAAAATCAAAGAGGGTATTTTTATCGACAAGGCGAGAGGTAATGTGCTGAATGTGAAACCTGGTGTCATGGTGGCAGATGTGTATCGTGTGCTCGGCTAGGCGACTAAATGATAGTTCAATGTTCGTGCGGTGTATTTTTGTTTATTGTGCTTACTCATGTACGCGAATTCGTCAACGAAGTGGAACGCTACGAATTACGAAACGAGCTTTTCTCGAATATCTGCGCCACTTTAACTTTAAAGGGACTATCCCACCTTTAACATGGGGTTTGAGTTGAGATAGCCAAGTTTGCGGCGAGGTTCAGAAACCACTATCTATCTAGGTTGCAACCCCCGCGGCCTCTTGGTGTTGAAGAAATTCGTTCCCTTCATTTGAAAATGGGCCTTGTACAAGGCCCTATCTTCAACATGGAGCGACCGTTAGTGTGACGTCACCTCGTTTAGTCATTCTGATTTAAATGGGTTTGTTCGTTGAAAAATGGCTTAAAACTTGGTCTGAACTTTGTTGTGGTGCCTACAGAGTAAAAAGAATCAGCTTTATGACAGTAATGTGGCCTGGGGAAGGAGGTAATTTTGGGCTGTGGCGTCACATATTTGAAAGTTTGTGTTTGGAATATGGGAAGCCTAAGATGTTTAATGAAAAATAAATGCCAGAACCGTGTTCCTGGTCATCCAATCTATAAAGTCGGGCACAATTTAACTGGTTTTAACAACATTTTAGAAGGTGGGATAGTCCCTTTAAGTGGCGTTTTTGAATTTTGAATTGTTTTGTATTTACGTGTTTATCTGTCTTTTTAAGAATTCTATCCAAGGCTGACGAAGGAAGCTGTAACGCTTCCGAAAGCTACCAATAAAAACTTAAAGCTGGTGTTTGAACAATATTTTGCCAAGTCAAGTCTATCATTACTTTGCTACGTCAATCCCTACGGTTTCGCCAGGGGAGGAAAGTGGCAGTAGAAGGGGAGGGGGAACAGTTCCGCCATGGGCCAGTCCTCCATAGACCGGTACCCAGTGGCTGCAAACGGCGCGCGGCACGGGCCGCCGCTGCCGACGCCTGGCACAAATGACAGCCGTGGTCCATGTGGCCGCCCAACACGCACACGCCGACCATCTTCCAATCTAACAGACCCAGGCCTGTCCACAGAAACACTCACGGTCTCCTCCCTGCCCACAGTCAGTCAGTCCGTCCAATCTAACACACACAGTCCCGCCTATACACAGTCACCATTCCGTCCTGACCCACCACCAGCGCGCCCGTCTCTCCCTGTTCCACTCCGTCCAATCCACTCGACACAGCCCGCCTCTGAACACATCACCGCCCATTTCTTCACCCGGCGACACCGCCCGGCCGTCCAGCCCTCCTCAGAGACACATCAGCCGCCTCCCCAACCACCCCTGTCGCCGTCACAGCCGATAACCACCCGTTCCACGACCGTACCACCTGGCTCCGCGACAGGCATCTGCCCGGCCACCAGCACAGACGATCGAACCACGCGACATAAGTCGGAAGTTATCACCCGGTCGTCTGGGGACCACTCCGGTGACCTCCAGTGACCTCTGTGAACTTTAAGAGCTTGACGGACGATCTAACCAGCACCGCCCTCGCAATCACCACCACAAGTGAGACGAGCATTGGTTGGCACGCACTAGAAGCCACTAGCTGGAATAACAACGTAATCCCTACTAGCAATGGTCAATACCGTCCCTGCTCCACTGAGGACTGCAGTGGGGTCACAGCTTCCACATTGCCCTTCGAGCCGATCAGAAAGAGCGGAGCCGGCCCCTGGAGTGTCTCGGTAAGCTCCATAACGACAGCTTACAGATCCTATAACACGGCCGGTGACACTGGCGAGTGGCACCGTTAGCTCTGCGTTGGAGACCAGGTGGACAGATCGCAGGCGATAGAGGAACATACGCGCGGCAATGGTGATAATAGGGACTTCTAAGGGAAATGAGGATGTAGGGAGGGGAACTGCATCGGCGAGGAAATAGGAAGGGCACCAAAGCTAGTCGAAAATTGGCAGCGTAGGCAACACCCTGATAAACTTCGCTTAATTGTTGAATGTGGCGATAAACCAATAAACTTGATACAGTAGGGGTTAAAAAATAGGTCAAAATGGTTGCAAAAATGATAACAACCTACCCTAGGCTTGCTCAGCACGATATGCAATTCACAACTTCGAGCAAGGTGAATCGTACACTACACACACGCAAACACATATCATAACGAACTCAAGCTTCGGAAAATCAGACTTCAATGTTACACACAAACGTGGGCCACCCTGATGAACTCACGTATTTCGTTGAAGTAGAAGGGGAACTCGCCGGGAATCGAGCAGTTCAATCGTGCCTTGACATAGGTGGCCCAGTTCTGGTTCAGAATGTTCTTGCCCCCCGTGTCCTTCTTACAGACGCGAGCCACGCTGTGGAAGGAGGAAGTGTTGTCAGATGCGTAGGGTAAATGAGGGGTAACTGAAGAAAGAGATAGGAGGGAGAGGGAGAGAAAGAGGGAGAGGGAGAAGGAGAAGGAGAAGGAGAGGGAGAGGGAGAGGGAGAGGGAGAGGGAGAGGGAGAGCGAGAGCGAGAGCGAGAGCGAGAGCGAGAGCGAGAGCGAGAGCGAGAGCGAGAGCGAGAGCGAGAGCGAGAGCGAGAGCGAGAGCGAGAGCGAGAGCGAGAGCGAGAGCGAGAGAGAGAGAGAGAGAGAGAGAGAGAGAGAGAGAGAGAGAGAGAGAGAGAGAGAGAGAGAGAGAGAGAGAGAGAGAGAGAGAGAGAGAGAGAGAGAGAGAGAGAGAGAGAGAGAGAGAGAGAGAGAGAGAGAGAGAGAGAGAGAGACGAGACAGGACGGACGGACGGACGAGGAGGGAGAGAAGGAAGAGAGCATTGTTGATTCATCATGAAAATGCACACAAAGGTTATCCTTTGATAAGTTGTTACGAGACTGTTACCAGCAAAACATGATAGAAGTGCATCGTAACCTCACAGTAACCCAATCCCCGACATCCGCACACATCCATCGCTGGCGCTCTGAGATACTCAGGCCCAGCCTTGGTGCTGATAAATGAAGTTATCACGGCGCCCGTCGGCGCCTTGGCAGTCATGTAATCACAGTCGACATTCCTTTCAGGGCGCCGCCGCCGGGCCGCTTCGGTCGCTATTGTTCACGGTGAGTTTCCGAGTCATGCACCATGAACGGCTTCATCATTCACACCGGCCAATCGCCGCCCATTCGTGGCAACAATGAAGCCCCGGCCGCATACCTGGCCAGTGTTGACCGGAACTCAGTGCAGCAATTCAGACAATGGTGCCGGCAGGCTGCCTCGGTCGGCCGAGGAAGGGGCGCTGATGAGTGCACTTCTTAATCGAGCCGGACCAGGTGTCTTTAGATTGATTATTTTTTGAAGATGGGATGGAATTTAGGTGCGTCTAATAAAGCTGCAGAGGAGTGGAATGAGAAGACAAGATGAAAACCGCTGCTGAATGGAATTTGACACTACCATACGTAAAACAACGGCAAAGTCAGACTGCCGCCATCTGATCCATAAGTAACTCGAAACCCAGTTTATGTAGTTATTCGAACTGTTGATCTAATTTTAGACGACAAAAGGGTCCTAAAGCGCACGGACACCTCCCACACTAATCCAAAGCACAGGCGTCACCCGTGCCGCCGGCCAAGACGAACAACCGTCTGGGTCTTGACGGACGGCCCGGCCAAACTAGCCTATTGGATCCACTGCGGGTGAGCCTGTCAAAGTCGGGTCGGTGGTGTGCGACCGACCAACACTGGTCGAGGGGCGAGGGATTCTGAGCAGACTACCCTTCCCAGTGACTGCAGGGTGGCAGGTCCGGAGATCTAGAATGGGGAGCGAGAGAGATGTGTAGGAGGATATGACAGTGGATGAGAATTAACAGCATAATCAAGCTGTGAGCGTTGCCGACAATCAGATTGTGGCGAGATGATTTCAAGTCACAACAATCATAGTTTTTGGTCAGAGGCGTATAAGTTGTCGGATTTGACGAGCCAATCTCTTTTTGAATGCAGTGTCAGAAATAACCAATTCAACTTCGAAATGAATTACCGAGGAGTGCGTGGGAACTAGGAGGTTCTGGTAAATTGTTTCCACATTTAGCACTTCTCATACATACTTCATCCACTCTTTACAAAGGGCGCCTCTCAGTCTTACTAATCTCACCCACAAAGACATCTCAATTCAGGATGAATGTGCAGAATCAACTGAACAAAAGAAACGACATCCAACTGTTCTGGGGGTAATTGACATCAGCCTGCGGCCGCCCACATGGATGTGTCCCGTTCCGACTGAGAGCTCAGTCCATGGATGAGTCACGGACTCAGAAACGATTCGGCGTCACGCCCGTTTGGCCTCTAACCTATCGTGACGCGTCACAGACCAGAACGGGTCCACGGCATGGACCAAAACGGTTACGGCCGGTGCAGTTCCACTAAAAGCCGGGCCACTTCACTGGTCAGTGGCTAGATATGAAATGTCTGCTCTTGATGGTTCCAGCTAGCTTCGGCACTTCTCGTTGAAGGTTATGGGCAGACATCTTAAGCCAAGACCGCTTCAAAGCCACATTCATATGTGCCTCATGAAACAACACTGCCAGTCATCCTATCAAAAGTCCATATTTACTATTTGATGCTTATCTGCACCTCACTCAGTACTAGGTAAACCACCAGCTTGCAGACCCATGATACTCAACTATTGCACTCAGACATACGACAAACAGGGGCGTACCGCACGACGTTTGATTAGGACCAGCAACGGAGCACGTGGGTTCTGCTCGGCGGGTGACAGCTTACCGGGAGTAGATGGCCTTTCCGCAGTTGATGTACTCGAGGGCCGTCTCGCGGAAGAAGAAGTACACATACTCGCCGATATCGTACGATGCCACGAAGTTGGGCTCTGCGAAGGAGGGCGAGAGTCAATGTCTTGGAACTAAGAGGTGGGGAGGGAGGGAACACGAGCGCACCCGGCCGCACATTTTCAAAAGTCATGTCCCTCAGGCCTGCAATCGGGCTTGAGAACGTTGGACAAAGTTTGCTCTCCTTTTTAAATGTGTTTTGAAGCGGACGGAATGGAGTGTTGGCTTAAGGTTGACTAGATATCCGACAAAAGGTCTGATGTGGGCCGGCGTATCATTTGCTCGGCTCAGTAACCGGCTATCAATGGGAGACGGGAACAGTCCTCTAGCTCTGACGACGAAACAAGTAACAGCCGTGAACAAAAGTTACCGAATCCGGCCAACTTGGCGGCGGAAAGTGAAAAGAGACGGCCCGAGCACCACTGGGTGGCCAGAGCCAACTTCTGACGGCATTAACATATGCCACGGTGATCACAGGAACGAAAATACCGAGATATATGGGCAGCTATATGGAGCGATACTCAACACAAATAAACTATCCGGAAACTCATTCTGCAGCCTGACGCATAAGCAAACAAACAAGGAGGGGAAAATGTCTACTGCAGCGAATTTAAACATCACCATGCCAAAGAACACACAACTTTTTACTAAGTTCGACACACGTCACCAGACTAATTCGCTAAGGATATGATCGTTCACTCCCCCTTCGGTGAAATTTGAAATAAGTACCAAACACCACGCCCCCTTCCCCTAGAGCTAATTTAATAATAAACGTTTTCTTAAAGTTATTATGTGAGTCGGTCGGGGTCTTATGAAAAAATCCATGGAGCTTATCTGAAGCAGGCAACGCACAAACTCTGTCCATAAACCATATGAGGAGTAACCCCACCCCAGTCCACTCTTCACTTACTGTCCAGCCACTTGCTGTCGTACTTGATGGTCCTCTTGAAGAGGTACTGCTGCCGCTTGGTGGTGGTGTTGTAGAGGTCGGTGCGGAAGATGACGTTGTCGGCCTTGGTAAACTCTGCTACCGTGCCGGAGTAGAGGCCGGCCAGATCGCCCGGGTTGCCGTGCTCCACCCACACGGCCGTAGAATTGTCGTCCGGGTCGAACGGACACTTGGCGATGCCGTTACCGATACCGGGTACGTACTCGGTGCGCGGTAGGTTGGTCAGGTTCGCCTGGGGGTAAAAGGTCAAAGGTCAGACTCAGACGAGGCCGAGGGGGTGTTATATAAGTCGGGTTCCAGTACGGGCAGAAGAGTGAGGAGGTCCAGGATACCTGCAAGTCACACGGTTTTTATATACATGCATTGCCATTCGGTGTAATAAGGGACCCATAATTTTCGAGAGAAATAGTGCGCAGCGGATCTTTGCTTTTGTACATTTATGCATTAAAAAGATTCAATTTATGCAAGCTGGGAAGAATACTCTGAAAAGTGAGTAATCGGAGTTAAAATAGAGCACATTTTCCTGTCGTTGACACCGTCAGTAACTTCCTGTGAGGCTCCACATCCACCTTCCACGTAAGCTTCCATGAGTCACCCATCATGACTACATCGGAAACCTCGCAGAATGCCTAACAAGGCGTGTCGGTTAGTGCTACACGCCCCAGTTTCACTAACTAGCCCGTCACCTCCCTCCCCACCCCCTCGCGTGCCAGCGGCCGGTCGCAGCCATCGGTCCACCGACCACGCTCGTCGCAATCGACGCCCCTGGCACGCCGTCGGTGACGACTGCGGCTGGCTGATAGCACGCGGCGGCCCGTCGGCGTCGATGGCGCGGGGGGGGGGGGTGACGACAGGGGGTCACGGGCAGCGGGCCGGGTGATAAAGGTCGGCGGCTGCGGTCAATCAGAGCCGTTAGAGGTCCCTGAGGCCAGCCGGCAGCTGGCAGGTGTGAGGAAATCGATACAGCAAACACGGGGTATCAGCCGGCTGGCGGTCCCTGGGCTGTGAAATACGGGCGGTGACTGGCAGACGCTGCTCGCTAGTTCTCGCAGCTAAGTAACTGAAGGCATCCCAAAACCACCTGGCTCATCTTCATCACAGCTCCAACCTACTGCAGCATCCCGAGGTGCGCCAGATTCGCCGTATACGTCGCAGTGACGGCAAACGTGGCGCGTAAAAAGTGCCGGCGCGGCGGGTGGCGCACTCGCCGCGATTTCCCCCAGGAGCGCCGACTGCCGCCGCACGACGCTTTATAGATGCCGCCGCCGAATAGCTAATCGCGCGGAAATCCAAACTATCGCCATTGCCGTCTGCGCCGTGATTTACGCCACCTTGGCCGGGTTTAATATCTAAATTGAAAGGGCGGTCAGTGCTGAAGAGGGCCGGGATGAGAGGAAGAAGGGAGGAGAGATGAAGGATGGGGAGGGGCGGATCTCCCCAGGGAGAGGAGGTGAGGGGATGTCAGAAGTGCCCGGTAGAGTGGAGAAGAGATATGACGTCCTCCGGGTCCGTCGAGAGGGCGGAGGGCAGCATATTGGCGGGGAACAAAGAGGGTCAACAATGATACACGCCTTCCAGGTACGCCCGAACCTAACAAGAAAAGGAGCCGCGCACGGGTTCATGACTGTATAATTTATATGATTTGACAATTCAATGAATCACTACCATTCTCCATAATTAAATTCTGCGAATGCCAAATCTGACATGCCAATTTAAATACCACTCTCCAGGAAATGGCCATCGCTCAGTCGATAACTTCATTACCTAATGACGCCGACCTTCACGTGTCTGCGCTTACCATGCTATCAAACGCCATCCCCATGGACACTGTTACCGCGTCTGCCAGCAGTTCACTCCTACCCTTGCCCTCTCGCTCCTCCCCTATCCGTCTGTCTTGATCTGCCACGACCCCGTCGCTCCCAACCACGAGCGGTTCATATTGAGCTCACTTAACCATTCATCGTGTCTCCTCCCGAGTGTCTCCAGCCGCCTAATGAGGCTCAGAGACGCCGCCGAGACAAAGCGTCCATCTCCGTCGGGCGGCGCGTTTCCGTGCCGTCGTCGGCGGCGGCGACGGGTCCGACGGGGTCGCCGCGTGCCACCAGAGCGGTCACGACATGGTAGTGGTCCGGATCGGGTCGGCTCTGAGCGGCCCATGCATGATACATATCCCATGCATAGCAGCCAGAGGCCGGTCAGGACTGAGTGCTGGGGAAGGGCCACGGGCGTAGGAACGTCATGAAAAGTGGGTGGGCCACCCTGTCAAGGGGCCTCCTTTTCCAGGGGGCCTCCTATTTTCAGGGGCCTCCAACTTTTGCCTCGTCCTGCTGGCTGCTTTCAAGTATGACCTCCAAATCTAGGTTATGAGCTCGGGCAGATGTACCCAGGGGCGTAACCGCTTAACCCTATTCCTGGCGGGCTCCGCCGGGACAAGAAACTGGCGGGGGGGGGGCCGATTCGGCCCCCCCCCCCTGAGATCTCGAGAACGAAGCAAGATTGCGACAAGCGGTAAACGGCATCGGATACGCATGGACAAGGTCTACAATTTTTGCTAAGGTCATTTTCAGGTCAGGTCAAAGATGACGTCACAGGGGTCGAAAAAGTCAAAATGGCGGCGCTAGATATGGAGAGAGTTTTTCTCGAATAACTTTCGAATTGGTCAAGATAGGAACAAACTAAGGGCATCATCGTGATCCTCTTGTCAATCCGCATCGAATGATATATATGTTGACCTCGAAAGGTCAAGGTCAAAGGTTGACCTCAGGTCACGTGACCTCGAGGTCATCATGTATATCATTCGATGCGTCTTGACGAGCTGAACACAATGAGACCATCCACGCGTCTGTATCTTGTTCCTGTACGGAGTTATTGGCCAAAAACCTTTGGTGACCTTTGATGACGTCACATGACCTCACAGCTGCCCAACAGCAAAACAGACCTCAAGGTAGTGAAGGTTGATCGTATATGAAGTCATGTATGGTATATGGGGCCATTCCGACCCGTTTTAGTGGTAAAAACAGGGAGTTGATTTTTCCCCCATTGACTTATAATGGGGATGTCGCGAAACTGACCTGACCTTAGGTCACCGATATCAAAATTCCGAGATATACAAATTGCACATACTGGTACCCTAACTAAAGCCTGAAGAGAAGAAATTGATCGGTCAAAAACTCTAGCTCTGGCGTGATTGCAAACTTTTCTGAGGTAGGGTCACCAAACCGCCTCTGGTGACCTGACCTGAGGTCAGATCAACTCAAAATTTTCAGACATGTTGCGTAGAAGCCTTTTAGGAACAGTCAGAAAATTTGAGCTTCCTAGCTCAACGCGTTTGGGAGAAATAACAAAAAAACCTCAGGGGGGGGGCTCCTGAGGCCCCCCCCCCCCGCCAGGAATAGGGTTAAGCGAACAGTGCGGAAAGTCCGCGCACCATTTTTAAAACTTATTCCCCCTCCGATTTTTTTAGAATCTATTTGCCGCAAACGGCGCATGACCCCTGAAAACCCTTACACAAATGTCTTCCTCGTTTCCCAGGTGCCCCCATTAGCTTCATAGGCGCCCTCTTTGGCATATAAGCGCCCTATGTATAGTCATCAGAGACATCCCTATATGTCCCACAGTCGCCCCGTTGTCGCATACAATGTGCACTTATCATAGACGTCTATCTTTTATGGACACTTGAAGGCGCCTCTCTTTGCCGTGCCGGCGCTCCTGTTTCTTATGAATGCACCCCCAGGCCCCATGGCATTGATCAATTGCAGTCTGCAGATCTCTATTGCATGTGGACGCCCATATATGTAGGCTTCAGAGGCGCCCCTCTTTCGCATTGAGGCGCCCCTATGGGCTTCATAGGCGCCCCTCTATTGCACGTAGGTGCCCTACTGTCTCAGAACCGCTCCCCTTTGGCATGCAGACGCCCATCTTTCGTACGGAGGAGTTGCTGTGGTTCTTAGAGATTAGACTTAGAGGTGCTCCCAGACGCAGATGGGGCTCTCGGAGTCGACAGTGTGGGACCTTCAGTCGCTGATGGGTGCCTGCCAGATGTGGACCCTCGGAGACGCCGGTATGGGGCCCTCAGAGATGCCGGTATGTGGCCCTTAGAGACACCGGTGTGGAACCCTCAGATACTTCAGTGTGAAGCTCTTACAATTGCTGGTGTGGAGCTATGAATGCGCTGGCTTAAATCGCTCAGAGGCCGGTACATGGACATTAGAGCTCAGTGAGAGCTTGTGGTGCCTTCAGTGGCCTTGTGGAGCCGTTAGACATCAACATGGTGCTCTCAGGAGCCGGTGAGTCCTCGGAGTCACTGGGGGCCTTCAGAGCTCCGAGATACTGGTGTGGGGCCCTCAGAGGTGTCGGTGTGGGTCCTTCAAATGTACCTATAGAGCCTTGAGATGCACAGGTGTGGTGGCCCACAGAGGCGCCGGTGTGGGGCCCCCAGAGCCACCGATATAGGGCCCTAAGAGACACTAGTATGACCCTCAAAGGCGCCACTGTGTGGCGCTCATAAACACTGGTGTGGAGCCATCACAGGCGGGTGGAGCCGTTAGAGGCCGGAAAGGGCCCTTAGATGCCTACAAGGAGCCTTCAGAAGCCGGCGTGGCATCCTTATGGGGATAAGCGTGTCGGAACCCTTGAGGTGCTCTCATGAGCTCTGTGGGGCCCTACCGAGCCGTAATATGGCCACGGCCAGTTGCCGCCGCATGGCTCTTCGGACTATCATTCTCAGGGGCCTCATCTGCCTAGTTTGAATAGAAGGGCCTCTCAGACCATCAGTCTCATGGGCCTCCTCTGGCTAGTATAAATAGAAGGGCCTGTTAGACCATCAATCCTAGGGGCCTCCTCTGGTTAGTATAAATAGAAGAGCCTCTCAGACCATTAATCTCAGGGGGCTCCTGTGGACAGTATAAATAAAAGGGCCTCTCAGACCATCAGTCTCGGGGGCCTCCCTAGAAAAGTGTAAATGTGGATAGAGGGCCCCCTCAGATTCATTAGGAGTGAACCTCTCTGACTATCAGTCTCAGGGGCCTCTTGTGGCCAGTATGAATATAAGAGCCTCTCAAACCATCGGTCTCAGGGGCCTCTTTTGACTAGTGTGGATAGAGGGCCCTCCCAGACCACCGCTTTCAGGGGCTTCCAGTGGCCATTTATATGAACAGAAGGGCCTCACAGCCATCAGCCTCGGGGGCCTCTTCTGACTGGTGTGAATATGAGGGCCTCTCATACCATCAGTCTCAGGGGCCTCCTCTGCCTAGTGTGAATATAAGGGCTTCCCAGGCCATCAGTCTCAGGGGACTCTTCTGGCTGGTGCCGGATTGAGGGACCTCCTAGACCGAAAGTTTTGGGGGTCTCCTCTGGCCAGTATGAATAGAAGGGCCTCTCAGTCCATCAGTCTCATGGACCTCTTCTGCCTGGTGTGATTATAAGGGCCTCTCAGGTCATCAGTCTCAGGGGCCTCCTCTGACTACAGTGTAGATGGATAGGCCTCCCAGACCATCAATCTCAGGGGCCTCATCTGACTATTGAGGATAGAGGGGCCTCCTCTGACTAGTGAGGGTAGGGGGCCTCGGCTAGACCGCCAGTGTCAGGGGCCTATTCTGACTAGTGTGGATGGAGGGGCCTCCCAGACCACCAGTCTCAGACATCTGACTAGTGTGGATAGAGGGGCCTCCCAGACTGCCAGTGTCAGGGGCCTCCCCAGACCAGTGTGGATATTGGGGCCTCCTCGGATCCACTAGGGCCTCTCAGGCCATCAGTATCAGGGGCTTCGACTGACAAGTATGAACAGAGGGCCTCCTTGGATCCATCACGGCCCCTTGGAGTCCGTGCGTGGGGATTCGTGGAACTTATTTTTACGGAGTTTGTTTATTCTGGAAGGTGACGACGTCCTCTCAAATCGAGACGAGGGGCCTCGAGTAAAAAGTGGGTGGGCCAAAACACATGGTTGGCCCCCCCACCTCGAAAAGTGGGTGGGCACTTGCCCACCTGGCCCCCCCTGTTCCTACGCCTATGGGAAGGGCGCAGTGTGCGTGAGCTGGGTGGGTCGCAGGTCACGGATGGAATTTGGTGAGGACTACTTCTGCCATTGGGAATTCCACAATGACGAATACGGGAAACGGGTAGGAGAGACGACTGGTGAGAAAGGTTTTGAGTCTACCCATTTCATCCGTATCCCTAAAATGCAACAGCTCGTCATCTTTGCGCCACCAGCCGTACCTTTTGCCCAACAGCTCGTCCAACTGCACCGCTTTTCATCCAAGCCGCGCCACCACCCGTCCCTACTGCGCCACCACCGGTCCCCTCTGCGCTACAGCTCGCCACACCTGCGGCACCCTCGCCGCGCGGGCGGCAGCGCTGGGTGGCGGTGCTGACTCTAGCGGCGCGACTCGATCGTGATCGGATCAGGCCGCGGTCCGCGGCCGGCGTCAGCACATTCAGAGCGGCGAGAGGCGGCAGCAACCCTGTTAGCGTCGCCGCCACCGCCGCCGCCGAGGGGTGTGCTGTTAGCGACCCCGGCCGGGCCTGGTGAGGTGTCAGCTCTCCCGGGGGTAGCGCGGTTAGCGAGAGGAGGTGACGAGTTAAAACGGAGCTGTGATAAGGAAATATCGGCTTCCAGTTTCAATATGTATATAAAGGACAAAGGTATAACAAACTTATCCAATTTTAGCATCTTACGACAATGAAAAACGATATGACTGTCATTCTCTTGAACTAACTATGCATTGATCACTCGTTTTCCAAAGGAATTTCCTTGGCTTTGTCATTGCAAGCACATATCAACAATCGAATATTATGATATGGCCATACCTATAGTTTATGACATACAAAGGCGATGGCGCAGGCTTCGCAATGACTGAGCTATTGAAGTGATGGCTGCGGTCAGGCAAAACTCCCATCTCGAAGTCATCTACGAACATCAATAGCCCACAGTATCAACAGGTAGCGCCATACAGGCAAGAAGCAAAAGCCGACAGTGCAAGAATGCCAGACGGCATTAACAGTGACGAGGGCTTAAGAAACATCCCGACAACGTATTCCAGCCCAAATTGCTCACATCAAAGAACCCATTAGGTATATTCCAACTAGAATGATTCAACCGGGACGCACTTTTCTAAAGAACTCATTTTCTTTTCAAATCACCCTCTATTCGCCCCTCAAAATATCCCCGGTTCCAATAACGTTGTCCCTTTGCCAACATGTCCCCAGGGGCGGCGGTGCTGCGGGGACGCCTCACTGTCAGACGTGCCCCCGGGCGCTGCGCACCACGTGACCCACGCCGGCAGCAAAGAGTGAGATCACGTGACTACAACAGCGCCAGTTGAGAGGCCCGAGGCGGTAATGGTATCGGCGTCCCAGACGTCTCTTTTGTAGGCGGCCGATGATTGGCAGTATGGAAATTACAGTGCGACGCCCGCCGACACCACATACCACTGCTGCCAGGCGCCGCGCCGGCGTACGAGCAGCGAGGTCGATGGTTACAACGAACATCGCAAGCGGATGGAAAGGACTTACTGTGAACGACCAGAACAAAATGGACAAATAGGATCAACAGTGGATGGATACTGGAGCGCAGAAACCCCACGACAAACATCAGCCCCAGAGTCATAAATGCACGAGTGTTGCATAGGCAACAAGTATGATTGACGTTAATCCTATCATCACTGCCATAAACAGCAGCATATCGAGGCACACAGCACGACATTTATGCACTGTTGCAGCAAAGATACCCAGAACACATGCAATAAATATGCAGGTGAATGTGATTCCTATGCAGCGAAGAAAATACACGGTTTTGACAGACACCCATAAAAGCGTCAGCAATTAACTTGACAGGACGGATCGCTGAAAAAAGTCAACATTTTGATTAATGAGCCCACGTCTACATAGGTCGTTAACAGAAACGTTGCTCATCGAAGCTCCGATGCTATTTGCGCAAAGGTCGCTCATGGCTCATCAAATTAAACACTTTGATGGCCACAGCCCACAAGAAGCCTTCATCAAGAATTTGACAAAATGTTCCTTTCACAAAAACGCACCATCAGTCAATAAGAGCCGAGCCAATTCATAAAAACAAAAATAAACGTGCCAGTGACTTGTAGAAGGATAGCGAGGGAACTATATTCTATCGGGATCCATAACACTAAGTGTTACACTGGCAATGTTTTGTTACCGCGATGATCTACGACTATGAATCACAATGTTTTACCAGGAGCATTCAATACACTCGGGCGCTGGCCGACTGCTAACGACGTCGTACCGTTCCAAATCGCGCAGTAACTCCATCGCGCAGTAACTCCCGCTGGACGGTAGAGATACCGGTCTGCACGACAGCATCTCTGACGCTGCCTTATGGCCCGGCTGTCACATAAAACACGCAGACACACATACACACACATCGGGGCGGGCCGGAACAGCGACAGAAACATAAACCATCGGCGGCCACCGGGCTTTCAGCGGTGCGGTTTTGGCAGAGAGCTCGTGGCCGCCGAAGCGCAGTGACGACGGGGTACGCTCGGTCGGTTTCTGCGTCGCAATTCGAGAAATTCCTCCGAGGAATGTGCTTCCTCTGAAGGACGGATCACAGGCCGCTGGGTCCGCGGGAGAGGACCAGCGATCGAGCGAGCGAGCCGCACACGGCCGAGCGGAGCCCAATCTGAGCCGAGTGGCCCGCCGCGCCGGGCCGGCCGGCGGACGGGCGAGTTTTCCGGCCGGCCTCACACGAAAGGAGCCCCTCTGTTTGCCGTCACCGGGCAGAGCGAGAGGGTAGAGGGGACGGAGACCGTGATCGGGTGTCACCGGCAGGAGACACGGGGTAGGAGACAATGAGGGAGACACGGGGTGGGAGACAGGACGGGAGACACGAGATAGGAGACAAGGCGGGAGACACGGGGTAGGAGACAGGACGGGAGACACGGGATAGGAGACGGGACGGGAGACACGGGGTAGGAGACAGGACGGGAGACAGGAGACACGGGGTAGGAGACAGGACGGGAGACAGGAGACACGGGGTAGGAGACAGGACGGGTGGGACGCAGGATGAGAGACACGGGGTAGGAGACGGGACGGGAGACAGGGGAACGGGAGACATATCGATGGAACAGCACGGAAGTGCATAGTTCAGGGCCACCGTCCAAGAACACTTCCCAAAACGGAAGCAGAGAAGGAAACTTAAAAATGGAGTGTGCTGTGACAGCTTTAAATCGACTCATCAACTAGCCCGCATGCATTCGAGTCAGTAGTGACAGTTTGATGTACGACCTGAATGTGGCATGGCCATATCTTGCATAAGAAATAACCATGTGGGACAGCTCATGGTTAAAAGCTGTCATGCAAACTATGTATGCAACTTAACTGGGCGCTTTTAATCAGCGCGAGTGGACATTTATCAACAAAAGCGTGAAATATAAACGCCAGAGGACACGACACGTAATTGTAATTGCTATGAAAGTCATTAACAGCCCTAGGTGTTGATTGGGTGGTCCATTTAAGTTCATTATCTATGTATTTGAAATAACCACCGAGGGATCGTGGAATAACGACTGCAATGCAATATAAAACTCTTAAACGTGTAGGTCTGGTTCGAAGAGTTTGTTTCATAAAACAGTCACACAATTTGGCAGCAAGTGACATGAATGAATCATAGGACCGCAGCCAGCGACACGAGGACATCGCAGCTTTATTGAGTATTCCATGAGGCATTCATATAACGCCAGCGACGTAGTCCGTACTAGGTGACCGCTATGTAGAAGAACGTCAGCCACCGGGTGGGCCTATTGGCGTCCTAGACTGAATATTCCAGTCAGATTCCTATCAGACACCTACCTATCTGCTGAGCTGACAGGACCTCGTACCGAACTGTTGATATTCAACCATGATGTACCCACTTGCACCTGTCTCCCGTGCCCGTACTCACGTAGATGACGAGGTCCTTGGGGTTGTGAGCGTTGGTGCCGCAGACGTACAGTCGACTGCCGTCTCCCATCGGCTGAATCACCCGAATGTGGTTACGGCAATCGTAGTGCTGGAACGGAAACACAAGCAGTCAACACAAATGAGCATAAGGGAACACGGACAGAATTAGTGACGATTCATGTAAGTTAGCACGGTGTGAAAGGATAACCTGCAAGGATAATCTGCAACTGATATATAGAGCAAGACTCGGATAAGATTAAGCAGGTTTGCGGTCAGCAAGGAGTCATTGGTCAATCCTTCTAGTCAGCCTTTCCATCCACTCCGTCGGCCACCCATCACATCCTCACTGTCCGCGATGTACGGGCGGGCGGAGGAGCGGGCCGTGTTTACACCCGTCGACAAGGGTACGGACCGCCCCGACGTCTGTCCAGGGGCCGTTAGACAGGACGGGACGTGATACCATCGACCGGCGGCGGTTCGTGACGCGTCATCACGCCGGAAACCGGGAATTTCCAGCTGAGCCAGCCGCTTCGTACGGTCGACGGAGGTGTGAAGAGGCGCTCTTCGACACCCACAGGCGATGCTCGACGCCCACAGGCACATCTCGACACATACGTGACCTCCGGTCGAGCATCGTCCGCCGCCCACATACTCCACCACTGCAGCTGGTGCAACGACTCACGACCGGTTCACGGCGTCATCACCGCCACTCGGCGCCTGTCCGATCGCGCGTGCCGAACGTCATCAGTCACCGCCCGATGTCGACGGGCGTCATCAAGTGTCATCAAGGATCAGTGAAGGTCGTCAGGGCGTGTGATGTCCGTGCAACTCACTAATCATGAGGTCAATATCGGAGCTGACGTGGCATGACATGGCACGAAGAGAGTCGAGTAGCAGGACAGGTGTAGTTGGACTTCCTCCGACCCACTAGCCGTGCAGAACTGAACTTAAGGTCACGGTGACACCTTGATAATAACCACGGCCCAATGACACCTTGCATGAGAGCGGAAACAAATATACCTCCCAGCTCAGCTGACCCGTTACGCCCTCTACTTTCGTCACTTACTCCACCTCCTCCCACCCCACCCCGCGTCGTCCCTTGCCGGCAGCGTCAGAGCCGTTATTTACGAGTAGCCGTTTGTCATGGGACGTCGTCGGCCACATGCAGACCGATGGCGGGGCAGAATGCACGCCACGCCGGCCGGAGGCCACGCCGGGCCGCGGGGATTAATTTACAGGAGACTGGTCCACGTGATGGATGACGTCGGGGCGACACTGACGGCGGAGGTGACAGCGGAGGCTCTGGCGGCAATGGAAGACTAGTAGGAACTCGCGGGATGAGGTTGCAATGCCACCGCAATAACAGTGATGAGACGTTGATGCTTATCATCATCGACAGCCGGGTGCTAAGATCTATGTAGGCCGACGATCGGTTCAGGCGAGCTGACTGCCAGCCTGCCAGTCTTGTCAGTTTCACAGCAAGTAGGCTACCCTGCCAGCCTGTCAGCCTGACTGCCCTGCCGACCGACCGACTGGCCGGCTCCCAGCCCGTCACTCGCCTATCGTCTGCTCGGCTGAATGGCCACAGACTGACGGGATGACGGACCGACCGTCACTCGTCCGAGCGGCCGCGTCACCCGTCGACGTCCGCCGCCCACCGACCGACGTCGGACGTCGATCCCGACGCCAGTTTCCGACGACCGTTTCTGGGAAACGACGGGTACCGCGGCTGCCGCGTCGATATGGTGGCGCACGGTCTCAGGGGCGAGGTCAGGTCAGGTCCAGAGGGAGGGGTGGGAGAGAGCCCGGTCTCCTGTCGTCTCCCTGGTGTCGGCACTCAGCGATAATATGTGGTGGACACAGCGGTGACCTGATCAGATGTAGGGAAGAGGCGAGGGGCTTCTTACCCACTCCCATGCAACTGGCCAAAGAGATCTCAAGGATTGCAAAGGCTCTAGGATAAAAAACCTCTTAACAACCGCTGAAGGAGTGTATACTAATAACAGGTAATATGCGATCTAAGCGTCAAGCATGAAGCAACCAAACTCAACAGATCGTTTTCGCAACCTACATTTTTGAACTTATTCCGCAGCACCACACCACACCTTCGCCAAATGCCGCCGTCCCCAGGCCGAGCACAGCTCTCCGTCAGACGTGACCAACATGTCTGACCGAGGGCTACGTCACAGGGTCAACGGTCCACACTCCACCGCCGTCGGCCGGCCGGCCCCTCCGAGTCGTCCGACAGTTGACGGCGGCCTCAGATGGTGCGACGTCGCGGCCAGCCGAGCGACGGGTGATGAGACCAAGTGGGACGGCGGGGGACGTGGGATGTCAGGAACGTGGGACGTTATTGGACGTTGGAGGTGAGGTGCAACGTCAGGGGCAGTGCAACGTAGGACGGTAGTGGGTTTGCAGTTTGAAGTTTGCACAAACTAAATGTCTACCAGGTTCCTGTTCACTCGGTTATGCGTCCTCGTTATCTCATTCATTTCTACACCTTGTCATCCCAGGTGATGCTCCCCTCTCACCCCGTCGTCGGCGCATCCCGAAGACCCTGACAAATGACAGCCCCGGGGCAACAGGGGGCGCGGCTGCGGCGGTGCCGTGCGCCTGGGGACCATAAATCAGGACCGGCTGCCCGCTCGTCGGCCACACGGTGACCCGACACGGCACCTACCGGAACTCCTACCCGGGACCGGGTCTCCACTGCGACCGATCCGCTCAGATTCTCGCCAAAAATACACGGCAATGAAGCCAACAATGCAGCAGATACACCGCTACAAGCATTATCCACGCACAGCGATGTAGAGCGTTACAATACGAAGTCGACAACACAGGCCGTTATCCCTTATTTGGGGTGAGCTAATCTGTCAGTGGAGAGTAACGACCGGTTGACACTTCGCAGAGCCTTTGAATTCTAGAGCTGCGGCGATACCACGCACGCGTCAGCCGCAGCCTCCGTCTTAATTCCCCCAAATTGCTCTCTTGTGCCGTCAAATGGAATAGGCTTAATTAAGACGCACGCCAGTCCACCAAACCATTAATAAATACCACCCTCCTCCATTAATCCTGTTCACGAAATGCAACTCAAACGCGCCCGGGCAGCCGGCGACCGCGGGCTGGCAGCGGCGGGCGACAAAACCGGCCTCATTTGTCGGGCGACATGCGAGCGGGTCGTTACGTCGCTGCGTCCGGACCGACGACCGCGCAAAGAAGTCGACGACGATGATGACGCCAAAAAGCGGCGAAAGCGGCGCAAGCGGCGCACCAGACGAATGGCGCCGGAGACGGTCGTCGGCGGCGACAGATGATGTCGAAAATCGGCTCGCCAGTCGCAGAGGGATTGTAGGTCGGCGAGGGCCAGCAGAGGTCCGAGCACTGAATGACATTGGCGGGGGCCGGGGTGAAGAGATAAGAGGTTTGTAAAAATGGTTGCTGTTTAAGCGACCGTTGGTTGTGTGAGATAGGTTAAGGTTCTTCGTAGTCTGGTGTGGTCGGGCCGCTGATGATGTTTACCGGGAAGCCAGCGGTTAATTTAGAAGGCAAAGTCTGTAAGGATTATGGTCAAACTTGCGCCATCATCATCGTGTTGTGCTGCACCTCATTGCTGATACCCAGCTGTCCAAGAGGGAGGAGTTTAAGAGTTTCCATCGATCACTGAGAAAGCTCAGTCCCTGAGCACAACACTCCACAACTTCATACGGCCTTTCAGCAGCACTGCGACACATTGATACACGGCCCGCGTAGAGTGAACATCTGAGAGAAGATCACAGACCGGGGCGGGGCCAACTTCGCCTTATATCAACATCATCAATGACTCCCGTCAACCGTGCCGTGGGGTCGTAGAGCGGCGCTCCACCGCAGCACACAATGCGAAGCCCGGACGAAACGGACCTCGCGGTAGCAATTCGGCGCGCCCGGTCCTCCCGGATCGCTGGAACTTCGCAAGGTCAGTCTGGAGTCTAGACCACGGCGACGTGTGCAGGTCTCTCTGCGACGGGTCACTATTGTGCAGACAGCGATCGTAAGGAGAAGGGGGAGGGGAGGAGTAGAAAGGACTCAGAGGGATGAGTGAGGTGTCAGGGACGCGATCACACCTCTGACAGCCACCGTCCCACCCTGCAGACATACCGTGTCACCACTCTATCGTCACTCCACCCACGTCCTGTCGGTCAGCAGACTGCCTCACCGGTACCCTGACAAACTACCGACGCACAAAAACGGTCTATTAGGCCCCCGTTGCCCGCGCCACTATCACCAGGCGTTCACCTCAGTTGGCTGTCAGCGGCCGAAACCACTCGCGTCGGCTCGTTTGTAGGGTAGGACGGCCCCTAAAAAAATGCACCGACGGAGTGATAACGACGAGGTATATGGTCGGGATTAAGGATATGCAGGTTTGACGAATCTCGAAGTCGCATCTATTAAATAGGTGAGGGTGGGTGGGAAACTTCTCGCCCACTCTCTGCTCCACTCGCCGTCCGTCGCAGTCGACGACTGCCGTTCGCGCCTCTCGGCTCTGCTGCCAGCGGCGCGCCCGTTCCTACACTCCCCTTCGCACCACCCCTAGTCAGGGTCTGCCCCGCGTCTGTCGGCGGGGTGATTTATCTGTCTCCGACCCCCGTCTCCCTTTGCTCCGGTCACGTTCAGTGGCGCCCGGGCAGGGTCCTAACCTTCCATAGCCGCGTCGCCGCTATGAGTTGATTGTGCGTCCCGACAGGAGACAGAGAGGGTACACCTCAACACGTGGAGACACCCACCGCACGGCGGCCGGAGACAAATGATATCGTCTCGGCGCGCCATCGCTCGTCGCCAGGCGCCGGCGCAGTGTAACGACGCCTGCGTCAAACGTGCCACCGATTACAGGTGACTCGGACGAATGGTGAGATCAATTTCTGTGTCGGCTGATTACCGAAACGTCAGAGCCGTGTTTGCTTTGGAGAGCTCTGATGGGTATTTTTAATCACGTTTTTCATACTGTATAAACAAGGCTAAAACATCAAAGCCCAAGGGATCTCACGTACTTTTCCAGTTTCCTTAAAAACATTTTCGCATTACTGAAAACGCCGACGGTGAGATGAAGTTACCTGACAACAACACACTTGGAAA